TCAAGTGATGATAATGGAATATGACCTGATGATGATAGACCTTGTTTAGAATTTGTATTATCATTTGATATTGACATCAAATCATATTTAACATATGAAAATAGATTTGTTGGTTTAGAATTCATTCCAGTTGGATGATGATGAGAATTTCTAGGTAAACGATGATGATGAATTGTTGGTAATTGATTAGATGATGAAATAGATCTGTGTGTTCCACGTAGTAATATAAAAATAAGTACAATAATAACAAGAATAAGAATAAGGATTAATATGGAAAATGTAATGATGATTGTTAAACCAAAACGGGATTGAGATATAGGAACTAAAATATATATCAAATAATATGAATAATCTTTTTTCTTCTCATTAAATACATACGTTTGTCTTGATCATTTAGAAAAGGTAATTGATCCCGACAAATAGGGCAACAATGACCTGATAATGTAACAGCATGTACACAAGTTAATGATGGACATTGATGTTGATGACATACAATTGTACCATATAAACATTTACAACGATGACAATCGCTAACCTAAGAAAAGAAAATTTTTTTTAGAAAATCAAAGAAAAATTTTAACTTACATTCCAATGTTCACCCGAACGATATTGAACATAATTAAAAATACAAACAGATACAGCAGCTGTTGGTGGAAGACAAAATGGACAACATTGACCTTTTTTAAGTACTGGATTTGAACATGGTAAATTTTGATCACAAGTTTGTGAAAAACATTGAACTTGTCCACCACCACCACGTGGACAAAGACATGATTGACAATCATTATGTTTCCACCATTCTCCAACAGGTTTTATTATACCATTTTCAAGTAAACAAATATCTTCATCTACAGTTGATAAATCAGTTATTGGTTGTAATTCGGATGATTTCGATGGACATATTGGACAACATAGAGATGAATCATTTATTGGAGATGAACAACTAAGTGGAGGACATAATGATATACTACAAAATGCAATGTTATGTAAACATATACATTTTGTACATTTATCAAATTCAAGTTCTTCACCAGTGACATATTGACTGGCATAACATACTTGAGATGATGGTATAGGTTCAGGTAACATTGTAATTTCTTCAAAAAAAAAAAAGAGAAAATATACAATAGAAATAATTAATAAAATGAAATCTAACCTGGACATGAAGGGCAACAACGATTAGGTAAAATAATTGGATGTGAACATGTAGGAGTTGGACATGATATAAGTGCACATAATGGTTCTCCTTTATGACATAAACATTGACGACAACCATCAAACCATATTTCACCATTTGAATAAGAAAATTGTCCTGAATAACATTGTCGAAATCGTGAACGTATTAGAAGATCTGTATTTAATGTATCATTATGTATTATAATATTACTTTCACAAACACATATTGGACAACCAACTTCATTTTGTCTTAATCCATAAGTACAATTTTTTGTACAAGTCAATGTTGGACATGGATTACATTCACATGTTAGACAACCAGTTATTTTATTAATTAGATAATTATATGGACAATGTTTATCACAATTTAATTGTCCACAATTAAGATCATTTGGTGATATACATGAACAATATTGTTTTAATAAACGATCAAATTTCAATGTACATAATGGTGATGGACATGACATGGTAGAACAAGCACATAATAAACAACCTTGTTCATCTTTAGCTAGACCATGTTCACATTCTAATAAACATTTTTCAAGTAGAGGACATTTATTTGTTGTTAATGGTGATTGTGATGAAAGACGTGAATCAATATTATGTATCTTTCGATTTTGATCTTCAAAATCATCACAAACTGGACAGCAAACATTTTCTATTTGACGTGGATTTTCACATGGTGGAGCTATACATCCGTCTGCAATACAACGTGATCGACCTTCTTCACACCAGCATCTCATACATCCATTTGATTCAATCCAAGTTGAATTCATATGTTGTACATGTAGACGATCATTTAAACAACCTAATTTAAAAAAAGAAACAAATTCTTCTTCTTCTACAAAAAAATTCGTTTACCTCCACATTTTGGACAACATTCATTTTCTGGCTTATACATATATCCACAATGTGTATATGTTGGACATTGTACCATTGTACAATCAACAAGTCCTTCTCGACATGTACATGTTGTACAATGATCAACAGACCAAGTTTCATTTTCACTATAAATCTTTTTATCATGATAACATTGTTTTGAATCTAGATTAAATATAAAAACAAAAGATTTTGTCGATTATTAATATTCTATATATCCCCCTCTATCTCACCCACTCTTAATGCAACTAAATTGATCACAACATTGACCAGGAATATTTGGATTTCCTGTGCGATATATTTGAATAATTGAATTTTCTCCACATATAGTTTTTGGACATAATGAACAAATACATTGTCCACGAGGTTGACAACAGATTAATGAAAGATTCTTCGATGAAGATGATGTTTGTAATAGAGGAACATGATCTTCAATAAAATGACTATCCAATGGACAGATTGATGAATTATTAGATTGATTTTTACAAATAATATTTGAACAATCAATTACATCATTAGCTAAAGAAGAAGAAGAAAAAAAAATAATAATTCAGAATGATAACTTAAAAAAACAATTTATTAAGTCTCAAGTAGATTTTTTCAATTTCATTATAAATAATTATATTTTATTGCATTTTTTATTTCTATTCAAAGAAATTATAACATTCCTAAGGTTTATTCTTTTTCGTACTATTTATTTATCATTGTCATAAAATTTCATAACATTTATTATTATCAAATAGTTGAAATATCATTATCAATAGTATAACACCAATATAAAAATATATGTAAAAGTTATGTGCTATCTAGGATAATAAAAATATTTTTTCGTCTTCTTTATATTCAGGACAGAAATTCATAACACATACACAGTTGCTATGTATATGTCTATTGTCATAACTTATCTCACATTACGCCTCAAGTACAAAAAAAGAAACGAATGATACAGTTCTCAAATGATTTATGAATATATATGTACATTCAATTCATCATATAGACAAAGCTCTACGTAGTTTTGTTTTATAACAGATATTAATATAGCAAAATGACATTTTGTCATTATTCAAATATTCTGTTCAGTGTATCTTTTGACTAAAATAATCTTCTATGTTTCATTAAGAAAATCCAACATATGTACATAAACTTAACGATCAAAAGGTCAGAAGCAAATGTTCCTGTCTTGATCAGTACCATATGTCTATTCTCTTGTCTTCGTCATATGTCTAGTCATTGGATGTATAGATGTCTGTTGAATTGACAAAATCTAATAATTGATTAGCTTGACACTAATGGCCTTTCTTATTTAGTAAATGTAATAGCAGCTATATCGACAATAATCTCACTATGCTATCTCACAATATGATAGTATATATATATATACATGTTATAAGACAGTTGTTCAATTAAATGATAATAATTCCTTTCACTATAACGGTGATAGAGACAGATGTTTGACCTTTTTTGTTTGTCAATCAGAATTAAAGAACAAATAGTTCGTTGTTTATATACTATTCATCTAACCAATTCAAGGATAAACATGTCATGTTTACTATCACTACTACCTCATTCATATACTACTTATCGATGGTATTCGAGTGGAAAAAAGAGAAAGAGGGAGAGGAAAAGAATAATTTGTGTTAATATGACGAAAAGAAGAAAAATTAATGATGATCGATGGAAAAAGAAAAGATCGATTTATTGATAAATGAGTATAAAATGATAGAGTTAGATTTACCATCATGTGCTTTTAACGAGCTTAATTCTCGTTTTTGTTGAGATATTGATTCTTGCATACAATCATGATATGTCTTATTATCATTAACTATATTTTGAGAAAATTCATTTTTACAAGGTACACGTCGATTTGAACATTCACATGTTGTTGTATTATTTATCATAATAGATAAACATTGGAATTTTAAACATGCTATAAAAGAAAGTATATAGATTATAAATCGTTTTTTCTTATGGTATTACCTTTAACGCATATGCCAGTTGGTTCATCAAAATTATTTATAGTTTTATTTGATTTATAGCATAATAAATCTTGTTCACATAGACCATAAACATTAAGATGACCACCACACACTTGATTTTCTGTACGAAGGCATACTGTACAACAGTCACATGGATCCCGTATTAGTTTAGAACAGTTCTTATTAATTAATTGATATTTTAAGCAATAGTCAATTGAACATGGTACTTGACATTCATTTTTATTTGCTGCTGCTGCTGATGATGATGATGATGATTGGATCGGTATAGAAAATAAATTAGTCTTTTCATATGATTTTACATTTGTAATTGTCGGTGATGATATCAAATGATGATTATTATTTGTTGTTGTATTAGCAGCAAATATGAATGTCGAAAGGAAAATAATAATGAGCAGAAAACGCCCGAAGAGCATTACTGCTCAAGTCTTATGTACATAGTCTTATTTACTAGTAATGGATGAATGATGAAACGAGAAAATCTTGATGATATAAATAGCGACTAGTATGAATGATGGTGATGTAGAACATCATCAGTATTGTTGACTCATTCGTCGACACCATCAAGCCGCTTTAGTTAAGGTCGACCTGAAATAGGGAGAGAAAAGAGAAAGAAAGTATATGTGTGTGTGTGTGGAATATAGAACAAACAAGAAAGAAAGAAAATATGTACCAAAAACGAGAATATAACAAAGAAGAAAGAAGAAGAGAAGATGAAGAAACTAAATAAAAAAGAATAAAAATTAGAGATTCTCAAGTTCTTTTTGTGGTTCAGTAGACTTCGTTACCTTGAAAATCAATGACTTTCAAAGATTCTTAACTACCAAGGTTATGTCAATTAGCTCGAAGAAATTATTTTTGAAGATTATATACACGATTTTTGAGTAGCATTACATTTTTGATATGAAAAATCTGTCAGATCGATTACAAAAAGAAAGAAAAAGATTATATAAAGTGTGTGTGTGTGTATATATGATTTTTTATCCATAAAGAAAAGAAGAAATATTTTATATTCCACTTCAATTTCCATTCAATCCTTCTCAACCATCAAAAAAAAATTGAAAAACTACTTGAAAACACTTAACATAATATTTTTCTTTGACATACTTTCCTTATAATTTTTGGTCTATTCTAAAACACATGTTATTTTACCATTTACGATAACAATTTCATTCAATACAGTTATAAATATTCATTTTTACAAGGCTTTAATATTCAACATCATTGTTATGAAGCCTTTAAGATATTCAACGATGAAACCATATATATGTATACATATGCTTGTAGTTAGAGATAGGAAGCAAAACAAAAAAAACGAAGAATATTATAAAGTTCACTAGACTCCAATCGCTATGAGATCTTTGACATATTCTAAAACAAACAGAACTCAGAAAAAAAAGAAGTATGGAATCTTTACATTACATTTACAAGTATGCGAATATTTGTATTGAGATAAAGAAAATATATTTATATGATATTTGTCATACAGAATAAGTCATAAATGATTATTCATACAAAATTTTGCTGTCAAGTGAGCATATCTGTTTATGTCAGAAAAAAAGGAATTCGCGGTATGCTATAATAAAAATCATTTGACTCAAAAAATGTTTTAGTTATTTCTTTTTTCAATATTAGTATAAACAACAAATAAGACACTGTCTATGGAGAGAGAAAAAAATTATAATATATGAATATCGTTTAGATATACAGATAGACATACATGTTTGTGTGCCCCCTCTATTTTTTGATTAAGTGTGTCAGATTCAGGTGGGATATCTCAAAATTAAGTAAGAAAAAGAAACGGGGCAATCATCACATGTGCAAATAGTTGACATTCCATATGTATTCGTTCTTTTCTTTCCTTTATTGTCTTGGTTGAGAGACATAAAGAGCAAAAAAAAAATATACAGGGTTATTCGCATTTAACCCGTTCTTATTCAAGATTAGTAATAACAGTAAAAACAACAACAACAACAGGCAACACTTCATCATCTATCATCTTCGAAAGAACAAATGATGATGATAGGAAAAAAAAGCCCACCGAGGATTAGAAATAATCATGTAGAGGCGTAGACATATGATTCAATGACTGATGTTCTTGTTTACATGCTTATATGTCGATGTTCTCTTAGTTTTTATTTTACTTATTAATACTAAATTAATCAAAAATCTTAAAAATTTAATGATTGCTTATTATACTCACTAGTAATCGACGTCATCAATGTTAATGATAGATAATTAGGGGAAATATATGCGTGTCATTATATGAGAAAGTAATATTTATTGTTTTTCATTTCGTTATGAAAAAGAACGAGCCCGTATATATAAAGCTATAAAGAATGGTTTAGTCAAAATAAAAAGAACGATAATAGAGTAAACATATTATTAAGAAGAGAAAAGGTTTGACTGAAAAAAAAAACAAGAGCAGTTATACTATGTACGCGCAAGGGTTATTATAAACAGGGAAACATCTGCATTTTGTACTAATGAAGTTTTGTTAGCTGATAATACTTACAAATAGATATCATATTCATTTAATTTTGTTTTTTCTATTTAGATTTTTTTACTCACATTAAATCATATAGTGATTAAGCATGATATGTAATTCCATAATTAAAATAAGTTTGAATATTCAAATTTCACGGTTGATTAACTATAATAATATATTTAATGAATGTAAACATATAAGCAAAATATTATCATCGCCTTAATTTACATATATAAGAAAAACGTGTAATACGAAAACAATATAAGAAAGAAAGAAAAATAAGGTTTATGTAGATAGTCATTTCTTAGCTAAAACTTATTATTTTTGATCAATGAAGCACCTGGTTGTTGTCAAAAAAAACAATAACATAACTAAATACTGTCTAACATTAACAGTCATAAAATTAGAAAGATATGAGTTTGTTTGCTCCTTTTTCTCTTTGTCGTTTCTTCTTCGGTTACGAAATATTCGTACTTTTTTTTTTGTTGTATATATGATCTTTAAGATCATCTTTTACGTATTTAATTTCCAGGTTATGTTTGAAAATGTGATAAGTAATCTGAAATCTGAACAGATTTATATTTATTCTTCTACATTGCCACCTAATAATCGTTAAATATACGTGTCAAGTAAAAATGTTTTTTTATTCACCTATACACGTGTTCTAATCTCATATTACCTGGATGCATAAATGACTATATATTTCAAATAAAAAACGAATATAGATATACATATCGAAATGAGAGAAGAATTTTAATTTGAAAGAATATATTTAAAATTCTTTGCCATTGGCAAAATTATCTTTATTAAACTCAAAAGCTAAACTTCTGGAAAAAGATTAGAATAAGGTCACTAATGATGAATAGACCAAATGGATTAGAAAATCTTTTTTTTTGTTGAAGTGAATCATTTCAAATGAAACTAAAATTCAAGGTTCTTTTTTTTTCTTTCAATTTGTTATTACGTATAATATACATGAATATATTATCTAAAGAATGGATGGAGTGCTATTGATGTGAATGTGAAGTGCTATTCTTCTACTTACCAGTCTTTCAAGTAGTGAATTGTTTTATATATCTATAGACTGATGTGCTTCTCAAAAGTATCAAATATGAATAGACTCATTCAGTTTTTTTGCTACTCTTTAAAACAAGGTTTTTGTAACGTCATCATTTTTTTTCATCTCTCTCTCTCCCTCTCTATTATGTATATGACTACGAATGCACGCGCGTCTGTTTGTCTGTTTCTTCTTCTTTTTTTGCTATCTATATAAAGGGTACAAGCATGTAATCTTGCCGAAAAGAGCTATACAAGATATCATTTATCTCTTTTTTACCAAAATAACACTAAACTTTGAAGTATTCAACACTCACCTTTAAGTTCTTCTAAATGAATAAAATATCCTTCAGTCAATAAAATTTTCAGGCAGCAGCTGTGCACAATCATTAATACACTACACTTCATGCATTCATGTTCGATTTCAATGGAAAAAAAAATAATAAACAGTATTGATAGCTAATAAAATCATCTTGATCAAGTGCTTATATTGCTTTTATTGTTTTTTTTTCTCTTTCATTGCTAGTGTGTGTGTGCCCAGCTGATTAATAAATAAAACGAGTCGATATTATGTACATAATACTCGTTGTCAACTGAGAAGAATCATTAAGAACAGCGCTATCGACACGCCTATGGTTTATAATGATAATCGAAAGTTATCATGGCATTGAAGAACAATCTATACAATATGACTCAATAGATAGATATAGATAGCAAAGTCGACATTTTTCTCTGACAAATACAGTGTCTCCCATGCGTAGAACTAGTGCATATAGATACGACGATGTAGGCGAAGAGCAAAAAAACAAATCTTATAATACATACAATAAATCTGTTATACATTCGAAAATATTTGGATATATTTTATAAACAAGATACAATCGATAGAAGAATCAGTTACATAAATAACATTCTAATGATAGTATACTATTAGAAGAAAACTGTACATTAATGTAAAAAATTATAGATGTAACTGCATATACTAATAGTTGATATTAATGCCTGAGTATTAATTAAAAGTATTCTCATATCTAAAGGACATCAATCAGACGACAAGGGCAACTGATCAAATTCATGTCATATTTCTTTTTTTTTGGTACAGAATGAGACCTTCCATGAACACGGCAAATTATCATTAATTTATTGATAAATATTTTAGATTAAAATATATTAGTATTTTTAGAAAAAAAAAGTAATTATAAAATTTATATTATATATCTGTAAAAACTGGAAAAAGCTAGATTAAAGTTAGATGTATATATTGCTTTTGTACTTAATGATGAGCCATAGATTCAAAACCAGTAGCTTTTTGTACTACTGGTCCACCTGAACCACCAGATTCAACAAATTTTTCAGGTCCAGTGACATTATGTCCGCCTGCAGATGGAGTTTTATTTGGATTAGCATCATCATCACCCCCATCTTCTTTCGAATCATCACCACCATCTTCTTTTGATTCACCACTCGATTCTTCAGCATTGTCCTCTTCAGATCCACCATCTTTATTTCCTTGAGATTCATTTTTACCACCCGATGCTTCTTCCTTTTGTTCAGATCGACTTTTATCACTCGATTTATCTTCTTGTTTGCTAGACTTGTCATCGTTTTCTGATGCTTCTTCGGATTTACCCTGATCATCTGACGCTTTGTCATTTTCTTTAGATTTATCGTTATCATCTGATGTATCGTTTTTTTCTTCCGATTTATTATCGTCTGCGGATGCATCATTTTGTTCTTCAGATTTATTAGCATCAGCTGATGTATCGTTTTGTTCTTCCGATTTGTTATCATCAGCAGATTGATTTTTGTCTTCGTCCGAGGACATTTTAATATTTATCTAGAAAATTCATTTAAGACTAGATTCTAGCGAAAGAAAAATATCGTCATCATTCATATTTATGAAACATTTACAAAAAAACAGAAAAAAATAAATAAATAACTTTTTTTACATCAATAGACTTTCATTACCATCATCACCAAATTTTGCCTAATTAAATAGAAAAACAACATGCTAATTAAAAAAGTTTGAAGATACAAATATTTACCTTAGTATTATGTAAAGCGACTTTTTTACCTGTCGATTGATAACGTATTAACATATGAGGAGGTAATTGCTAGAGAAAAAATTTAAATATTATATTTATCTATGCAAATCCAATTTGACATACAAGCTTAACTTTTGGCATGGAATCAGTTCGATTTTCATCAGTATTTTTTGTTATCTTCTTCTTTTGTTTATGTTCTTTAGGTGGTAAATTTTCTATGTGATCAATATTCTGTCGAATTCTTGAACTTCGACGAATTATATCTGATTGTAATTCTCTTGAATTTTAGAAAAAAATTAAAATGAAAGTACATCGAAATTGAATTTACTTTTTCATAACTCTCCGTCCATTTGAACTAACATTTTCAGTATTACACTGATTATTATTACTAGTAGTTATTTCTTTGATTTCATCACGAATCTAAAAATTATACAAAACGATGCAAAAATTATAAATAACTGTTTTTCGAATATATAATCGAACATCTGTTTCCACTTTCTTTATATAATAATAGGCGATTCATCATTTTTATGAATAGAAAATTTTCAATACATATGACACAAATCGTTAGCGGGTTTGCCTGTTTTTTTTTTGTTTAAGAAAATGTTTTGATGCTAAAATAATCTTTATTTAATTTAGTTTTTTTTTCGAACACTATTTGAGATTATATATTGGTTAGGTCAATTTTAGTTGTTTGTTAAATGACTTACATCATTAATTTTTAATGCAGCAAGAAAACGACGATTATCTTCAATATTTTGTCGACGTTTTGCTTCGAGATTTTGATTCTTTTAAAACGAAATAAAAGTTTTATTAAACAGGATAAAACAAAGAGTTGTATAAAACTCACGAGACAGTCATTGTTACTATTATTATTATGAGAAGACATGATTTATTTGAAAATAAAAAATAAATTTCGTATATTAAGTTCAGTGAGTGAGTAGATATTATCCAATACAATATACATAGGGTGTATACGTTAGCCTCTATTCAAATATGATTAGAAGGGCGACATAACCAATAGGAAAAAAAGGAAAGAGTTGAATTCGCCCTTGCTCGATACAAAACCACATTGAAGAACGCTGTCAAAAAATGGCATCAAGTTCAACTTCAAATTCCAATTTAACATTTATCAATCGGTAATAAGAATTTATTTTATTTTTCAAATAATTTTTATTTTGTTTGTAGACTTCGACGTGAATGTCTCGATCTCCAACAAAATCCAGTTCCATTTACTTGGTTTATATAAATAAAATAGCTTTTTCTTGAATTAAAATAATCTTCTCTTTAGTGCTGGTCCAACAGCTGATAGTCTTAAACAATGGCTTGTAGTTTTCGAAGGTGAAACTGATTCGCTTTATGAAGGTGGCACATTTTTTGCTTTACTTACATTCGACGATGATTATCCATTTACACCACCTACGGTAACAAGAAAAATCTTTATTTATTCTTTCTTATGATTTGATTTATTTTTAGCTTGAATTTAAAACACGAATTTATCATTGTAATATTTATCAAAGTACAGGATTAGTTAAACATGATATATTTGATAAAAACTGGTCACCAACTGTTACTATTCGACAAATTATTCAAAAAGTAGCAAAGTTACTCGTTCAATGTGAGCCTGGTAAGTTAAATTTTTGTATTAAACTAAATATTACAATATAGTTACAAATGTTTTCTCATAATACAGCCTTTTCATACAAGATTCTGCAGTTACTTAGTTTCAGATTTCTACGATAAAGAAAGTTTAAACTAAAGTATCAATTGATCTAATATTTTATTTTTTATATTTATCGACTCATTGATTTTCACAGAATCGCAAATCTCATGTTGTTCATCAGCAGTTACATTGAAACACCCTACATTTTATCATGGAAAATATTCTATGAGATGAAATATTCATTTCCTACCATAGACCATTTCGAGAATGCAGTTTTTTACTTTTACTGCTTTATGAAAATATGTAAAACTAGTCCAGGCACGATTCAATATTGATTTAAATAATGCAAAATTTATTGCGATTAAATACAAATATTGTACAATTGTCTGTTGCCACTAAAATTATGTGTCTTACAATGATATATATTCTTATTCTGCGACTATATTAGAAAGTTTAGTCAGGAAATTTGTTTATTTAACATATAGAATAATTGATTTATAGTGAAAAGAAATATTTTTATTGACTTTCAATTAATCTATTCAGTTATATAAATGCCATGATTTTCTAATGCATATTTCTTCCACTTTTATTAGTATTATTATTATTTAGATCATTGTGCAATGAAAGAACTCGGTCTACAATACAAACATGAACGTAATGATTATGAACGAATGGCTCGTTTATGGACAAAAAATTTTGCTCGTTAAATTTCTTGTGTGTACAAAAAATGAACTAAATATAGATATTTTATTTTTAGATGACAATCTCTATTTATGATAGTGAACAATATTTATTTGAAATTGCACAAAGTTTCATACGTTCACGTGTTATATTTACATCAATTGAATTAAAAATATTTGATTTATTATTATCATATAATGATGGTTTAACATGTTTACAAATAAGTGAACAATTAACATTACATTATATTGAAAATGAATCAAGATGTTTACAAGATATACTCGATTGTTTAACATCAATGAAATTTTTAGAACGTGATAATGAGAAATTAATTTATAAATTAACAAAATTTACACGAAATATTCTTCTACCTAATCGAAGAATTTTATCAAATCTTGATCAAGAATTTTATAATAAAATGCCACAATTTAATGAGATTGTTCTTAATAGTTCTTTAAAAGATTCTATTAATCTTATTATGGTTTTACGTATTAAACAATTAGTTGATTTAAGTTTATATACAAATATTTCAATTGATTCAATTGATAAAAATGTTGATGTTATTATTATTTGGAGACAAGATGGTTTATTAAAAGAAAAAATCAAACAAGCATATGATATATTACCATTAAATAAAAAAAGTCTTCTTATTTTAATAATACCAAATGATGAATATGATGAAGTTACATTAACACTTAATCTCTTTTTAAATATGACAACTCCAAATAAAGAACAAGAAAATTCAAAAGAATTCTATTCAAAAAAATTTCTTAAACAAATAGGATTTCGATCTACTGAAAGAATGCAATCAGCAGATGGTTTACAACTTTTACTTGCTTATAAGTAATTATGGTGATGGTTATTTTTTTCCATTTTATAATAGTATTCAATCAATATCTATTTTGCTTTTATTATTCGTTCGGTGTTTGACACTATTATTTATATAATTATATTTTTGTCTTTTTATTAGTTGTGAAATACAGATAATAAATATATTCGTGCAATCAATAAAATAAATTGCATCATATCTAATTACACATAAATAAGATCTAGAGAATGTAGGACACACGAACTACCATTCATCTGAACTATACATGTAAAGGTGTATGCTAGTAGGGTAATCGGCGGCGACACTGGCGGCTTTAATTATTTTTAGTTCATTGCCGGTTGTTCCGCCGCACGGCCTACATCTTTAAATACAAATTTGTTCTAGATAATCTTATGAGAGTAAATTATGTAATATCTTGTCGATTGTTTTATTAAGCATTCTCCGAACTTCTTTCAGATAAAATATGAGAAAAATAATTCGCATTCCTTGATTTAGTTTGTGTTGATTGATTAATAAGGATTTGAAAAAGATTCATTAATTCAATTTTTTGATCACGTCGAACTATTTTACAACATAATATTGATAATAAACTGACGAGGGAACCTCACCAACTGTCCAATCGCTTTTTTAATAAAAACCATTGGGATAGAGGTTATCAATCATGCTGATTCCGAATATGACCATGAGAAGTGCCCTTAGGCCTTTATATGATGGTTTTCTAGAAAACCGGTTTCCAAAAACCACATACTTTTTACTAAATTATTTTTTATTTGCTCAGATTATAGAGCATATCGAACTGCTTGTGAAATGATAGTTTTTCCTGTTTTGCAAAACTGAACTCCAAGGAAAACAATCGAAACTTTTGTATTTTGGCATTAAGTTGTTATAGTATGCACCTGTTTTATATATATTTACTTGGCTGCATTTTCTCGAATATTATATTTGAAGCAGAAAGAGTTGTTGTTTCATAGGCAACTCGATATGCTCTATAATCTGAGCGAATAGAAAAAAATTTAGTAAAAAGTATGTGGTTTTTGGAACCGTATAAAGGCCTAAGGGCACTTCTCATGGTCATATTCGGAATCAGCATAGTTGATAACCTCTATCGCAATGGTTTTCATTAAACAAGCGATTGGACAGTTGGTGAGGTTCCCTCATAAGTAGTTTCTGTAACTACTTTAGTAAAACCCACTATTTCTTGATTTTCAGAGACATGGTTTGACATATTAGAAATTCGAAAGTAGCCAATCGATAGAGCTCGTCGAGCTCTGTTTGGAACACTTCTTAGAATAGTTGGAACACCTTCCTAAACGAATATGGGAAGGTTTTACTAAGTAGTTGCTGTAACTACCCAGGTCGAATATTGTCTGTCGTAAACGACCGTATACGAATGTCGTACCGTATTATTCCGTATTTTTACGACAGAATACGATCATTCCAGGGTATGAGAATCTGACCATTTCTTGTCATCGTAGTTAAGTAGCTCCAACTGATCTAAAGGCAAGCCGTTTACAACTAAAAAACGATCGAATACTGCCATCGTAACCGATCGTTTATCTGCGTAAACGAGAGTATACGATACGGAAAAATACGACCGTAATACTGAGACAGATATTACGTGAAAATACGGCGGGACACGACCGTATACGGGATTGTAACCGGTCGCTTATGACCGTATACGAATCGCGTATTCATCGACTTGGGTACCCTAGTAAAAACCTACTATTTCGGGATTTTTCAGAGACATGATGTCAGATATTAGAAATTCCAAAGTGGCCAATCGATAGAGCTCGTCGAATTCTACTTGGACCACTTAAAACACCTTCTCAAATGAATATGGGAAGGTTTTAGTTGAATATGGAGCCAACTTCACCTACGTATAATATGAACTATTTCAAACATGGTCAACGTTCACATTTACTCGAAGCTGTTAAACATAAGTATCCCTGTCGTCTAAAACTGACCGGAACTGATTCAGTGGGAAACGAATTCTATTAGGGGGGTTTCGTCTCTCTTCTATTTTTCTCTTTTCTCGATATAAATATGTGTGTGGAGGAGAGATTTTTTCCTTTTTCAAATAAAGTAACATCAGCTCGAAGAAGCGGGCTAACAAATTCATAGCAACCAACACGATCAAATTAACAGACAAAGGATTAGTTGATCAAAGCAGACCTGTATATTTAAATACTTTTCACATACGGTTTGTTGGTAATGTAGTTACCGAAGAAAATGATGATATTAACGTGGTTTCATGATGGAAAAATCTATGAACTATATTTTATAATCATATGCTTCATTTCAAATAAAGTCTTGATTCATTAAATAAATCTTCTTCAAATAGTTTATTTTACTGCTAACAAAAAATTTTAATAAAAAGCATCTATGAAACTGACCTGGTTGTTCAGAATCGCATTGTTTTAAATAAATGATTCTAAACATGTTTCATATATTAATAAGTTCACAATCATTGCTACTTAAATATTATTTTTGTAATTCTAAAGCATGTTTATCATGATTTAAAGCTTAACGAGAATTTTCTTGTCGATAATAAATTGACAGCAATTGAAAAAACTCATAGAAAAAGAGAGATAGTCGGAATCTGCATTATTGAAATAGAGATTATAAAAGTAAACTTCATGAATGCTTCTTCTGTAACTTATAACATTGATTTCTGTTTATAGAAAATAATTCTTCTCTCGCACTATTTATTTGATATAGTGAGTAGATGTTGAACAACACCGATCAATTGAGTTTTTTTGTAAAAAGATCAGCAAGAAAAGATATTAACGGCAATTTGATTTGCAAAGTTCAAATAGTAAAAAAAGACAGAAAAATATCAGCGCATAGGCGATCTTTTCTCAGCATATCTTAAAATCAAATGATACTTCTACGTTTTTGTGAGAAAATTACACTCGAAAAAATATTCTTATTTATTTACGGAAAAAAATTGATGTTATAAATTATTCAATTGTTGTAAATAATCCTTCGTATTTTTTTGATATTTTAATTGTTCTTGCATTGCTTTAAAAACTTCATCAGAATGAATAAAATCATCTAATTGTTGAATATGTGAATATGCAATCATTGGTAATTTTCTCAACGTTCTTCCACTTAATCCATCACTTTGTTGAGCTGAAGTCAATAGTTTATCTTTGATTTCTTCCGACTGATTTGATGATGATGAATGAATAAGATTTTTTTTCAATTAATTCATCAAAACAAGCTCGATATATATGAAAAATTGTTTTCAATGATGGTGGTCCAATAAATAAACTTAAATATTGAGGGTGGGTGTGGGTGTTTTTGTTTATTCTCTTGCATTCGCATCTACACCTCACACCTCACACCCTTTATTCTTCTTATCTATAGTGGAATTAAAAAAGAAGAACAGTGAATTACTTTCTGCTTTGTTCTCATTAAAATCTAATTGAAAATGAAATGCATTAACAATAGCTGAAGTTGTTTTAGTTACACATCGTTTTTGTGATAAATTTAATGTTCGTTTATTTGTTGTTAATTGACGAAAATAAGAAATAAATAGTTGATTATATTTCAACCATGATAATATTTGACATAATGTTGTTAAACATACAAAAACGATTTCATTATTAATAATATCATTTATAAATGAACAAACAATTGGTAAAAGATAATTATTTATTGTTGTAACATGAAATGGTTGTTGATCATGTATTAATTTAAAACGTTTTAATGCTCTATAACGTCGATGATTTTGTACATGAGTTATATTATGAAAAAAATCAATTTCAATATCATTATAATTACGTAAACGTTTTAAATCATTTGAATCTTCATTATCAATATTAATATCAGTAATAAATGCTAAATGATGAATATTAATTGATATTGCTGGTTGTTTTCAAATTGCACGAATTTTCGTAAGAAAATAAGTTTGATATAATGAAATTTGTTTAAGAAATAATTGAATACATTGTGAAGCGTATTCACGTAATGATAAATCATTTACTGAATAATGTAATTCATATAAACAATGATAAAATAAACATAAATATTCATGTTTATCTTTATCAATATCTTGTACATTTACTAATTCTTTTGCTAAATCTTGATAACTACTTAAACGACCTTCATCAATTGCTTCTGCATTCCAAGAATTAAGTTTAGTTAATTGTTTTAAATACCAAATTGTACTAAAATACAAAACAAAAAAACACCTAGTAGTACAACCGTTATGAGAGAAAAATATGCTCTAAATAGCGAGCAAAAAAAAACAGTATACATCTAATTCTCCACAACAGATTTTAGCATATATTCGTAAAAACTAGTATTGTAATCCTACATAACTATTATCGTTTTACTAGCTATAATATAGATAGAGGCATAAGCCGGTAGTGTAATCAGCGGCGGCTGCTCAGTCGTACGGCTTACACCTCTATATACATGTCAAGATTTCTTCAAGAGAGAGAAAAGATGTTGTCTCATTGGAGTTGATTGATATCGAAATATAACATTGTCTCTGAAATTTCATTCCTGTTAGCTAAGACTATAATATCTTATAATAATGCAAAGATTTACAATAAAAATATCTGACGATTTAAATGCGAATTAAAATAGAAAAATCTGGAAAATCTCAAGTAGTCAGAAAAGAAATGTAAACATATCGTTTGTCATTTCATATGACAGCATTGATGTCATCCATCAGCAATCATTTCGATCTGATCAATGTCTATTACAACATAAAGTAAAAGTGTCTTATTTATAAAATCTAAAATTTTCTTTATTTTTTCATATAAATTAATATTTTAACAAATAAATAATAAAAAGAATTAAATTATCGATTGTGAATATGTCAATTGTGTTGAATCAATAAACGGTTGTTTTTGTATAATAAGATCATCACGTTGTAGATTATTTTTCATATATAACTGATTTTTATTACAATTATTTAACATACAATAAAAAGCGGATACAATTTGATCTTTTTCATAGGAAATTATACCTTGATCAATAAGATTAATACATAATGTTGATAATGATATAGGAGTTGTTGAATTTATATTCTCATGATTATATTCATCATATAATTGAATTTGAAGTTTTTTTGCGTCAATTTTAGCAAAATTTTTATCAAATTCAATTTTATCATAATATGTAGGACGATTAAATTCATATTGTAATTGTTCAGGAAATGAATTATTATGATCAGATGGTTCAAAATTATAATTTTCATCATTATTTGTAGAGTAGTTCGTATAATAATTTGATAATATTTCTGGATTATAATCAGGAAAATAATTAAAATTAGATAAATCAATTAATGGACGTAATTTTCTTGAAAGTCTTAATTGAAATTCATTTTTATTATGTAAATGAAATCTCGAAGATTTTCGAAGTGTTGTTGGTAAAATTTTTCGTTTACTTTTTTTTAATGATTTCCTAGTCCATGAATCCAAAGACATTAATTCATTTAATGATTGATTTTTTTCCTCATTAAATAAATCTAATTTAAAATAATGTGTAGAACGAATACGAGTAGATTTTCTTAATGTTTTTTCTTCAGGCATTGGTATTGATTTAATCGTATCTGGTAATAAATTTGTATATTTCCATAAATATGGTCCAGCAAATAATTTCAATTTTGTAGAATCAAAGTAACTGTACTCGGATGAATCATTCTTTGAAATAGAAAATTATATTCATTTTTAAAGAAAGAAAATATTTCGTATCTTAAAGAGATGTTCATCGCGATAAATGAATCTATAAAAGTATTGGCTGGACGATAGAGAACTACATTGCCCTCCGAAACCCGATTCCGATGGAGTCGGAGTCGGAATAAAAAACTCGACTCCGCAGTTCTCTACTAGACGATGCAATAGTCATAGAAATGTACTGAGAGAAAGAGATTCTTTTTAATCTGAATCATCATAAACTATATTTATTCGAAAATTTGAAGTATGTTTTACTGAATATACCTTATCACGAAGTAATTGAGGTATATGATCAGCAAATGACATTTTACTTTGCAGTAATGTTACATCCATTGATACCATTGTTGTTGGAAAAGTCTTTAAAATAAATGAATAATAAAAGATTAGTTTTTTAAATTAAATAAGCTTACATGAGCTGATCGTAATTCTTGGAAATAATAATTTGATACATCATCACGTACTTCACTGAAATCATTACTAAATATTTCATTTGGTATATCTTGTCCATCATTTAAACTAATTAATGAACTGTCAATAACTGAACATTCATTAATTGTTTCAATATAAGATTCTGTTGAATCTTCATTGAATGAAAATTCTCTTAATGTTTGACAACCTACGAAAAAAAAGTTCAAATCAAGTAGAAAAAATTCTTCTATTTACCAAGAATATGATTTTCTTCTTCATAATCTTTAATAACATCTCGTAATGGAATTAAATCATATATCGTCTTCATAGTTATATCAAGTATTCGTTCATTATCATCATATTCTTTATTAATTTGATTATTTAAATTAATAAAACCATTTACAAGTGGATAATCACTTGATGAATACATTGTATATGAAATCATATCTGCGTATAATGAATCAGCTCCAATTCCACCTGGCCATTGACATAGATTCGATGGTTGAAATGGATGAAATTCAAATTCATATGAGAGTGAAATTGTTGATAAATCAGTTGCAAGATATGAACTTTTTTTTATTTTATTACGGGATGTAATCTGTTTTGGTGTTTCTATTGCGTCTAAATCTGCACGATTCAATTCTTCTTCATCACCATCTTTGTCTTGAAAAGTTCCATTAAGTTTTTGAGTTTCAGCATGAAGAGCATCAACACGATATCCATAAATTTTTGCACTAAGAAAAGTTTTAGTAAATTTTTTTTCTAATAAATATATTTCTTTACCTTGTATCAATAACTGATCCAGCTTTAACAAAATTAGGTTCATGATAATGATCATCAAAAGAATCAATTTTATCATCAAATGCAATAAGATCTATGATTTCAGGTAATCGTTCAATTAATGAACAATGAAAAGCATTTTTTGCATTTATCTTATTTTTTGCAGTCAATTCAACGGTTTGTTCATATAAAGTAATTAATTGTACAGGTGTTCGAATATTTTCATCAACTCCACTATCAGTTCCTGTTGAAGTATTAAGAAATATACGTGATTGTCGTCGACTAGTTGGAGAAGTTTCATTATCTGAACCAAAATGATTTGTTATTCGATTGATTAACGAACTAAAAAATTAAATTTTCAGATAAAATTTCGAATAATTGATTTAAATTCTCTACCGTCGAGGTACTGGTAAACATTCGTTTTCGTCTTCGTCGATCATTTTAATTCTGATTCATATATATTTATTTCGTGTTCTTTCTTATTCTATCATCATCCATCAAACTATATGTACCGAGCGCTACTTGCGAAGCTTTTCGTATGGAAATATAATACATTTGAAAAATGTCAATTGACTTTACATACATTTCAATCAAATGACACTATCTATCTTCATTGATATTATCGAATAACTTTATTTAAGATTAAGTATATCTCATTCAACCGTATTTTATGAGATCTAAAATATTTATTTTCCAAATAAGTCTCTATTAAAGATATAACTACCACATCATTTTAGTATCTATCAGTAACAGTAACAATGATGTTGATCGACCATAATTTTGAAATAGGCTGTCACATTTAATAGATATTTCAAACGATATTGTTTTCTCAAGCAGTGTTTTCTATTCAGGTTTCTATTCTCGGGTGTACGAACCGAAGTTCCACGTGGGTGCCGCTCACCTAGCCCACCCGCTAGATAAAACACTGTTCTCAAGAAACAATAGTATGATTCTATAACTATTATTTTATTGCACTTGTAATATCTATAAGTTTATATGTTGAAATTCAAATTTTCTGTAATTCTAATAGATATTTAACTTTGACGAATAATTCTCTCTTTATCATATAATGTCTATATGTATATAAATCGAGATCTATTAATTGATTTATAAGAACCCCTGATAGAATCAATGCTTTCATAGAATTATCTATTCTTATTGGATAAAATTCTTGATTTTTTTTATATCTAGTCTTTTTATCGATTGGTTCAAATATTTGTTTTCAATTGCATATTTGATCAGCTAATTTCTCTCTTCTTCCCTCCTTCTTTCTCTATTTGCTGTTCATAAAGCACATAGTCAATTACGCATTTATATCGCATTATTGACAAATACATTCGATAATCTGCTTTTGCATGCCGATCATTTCTTTTCATTAAAAAGAATGTGTAAGTATATAGCTATTCGTCATTTTTCACATATCTTTTTTATATAGATCAATAGTTCCCTTTTCTTTTTTTGATTTCAAAAAGTATGAATCTTTTTTTTAAAAGAGAGTAGCAACATTAAACGAGATCTTTTATAGGCTTTAGTATGATGTATATAGTAATTTGCTCTAAGATCTCAATGACATCTTCCCACAGATCAGATTTGATATTATCGTCAATTTTAGGAAATAAAAAGAATGTTCCAAATTGAAAGAAATTCATTCCTCTATAGTGGTTAAGTGGTCATTCCTTCTCTATCAGTGTAAGATGCTAAAAAACAATCTCTCTATATGTGTAAAACATCGATCGCATGTTTATCAAAATTTTCTATCTTTTTCCTCAATTTACCGAAGCGTAACATAAAGGAATGAGTTAAAAAATGTAAATAGTGATGAATTTCGCACGAAAACGAAAAGTCTTATCACACGATGACACAATTGTTGTGTCGCGTTGCGAAAAAAAAAACAAGAAAGCATTTATAAAAACATGTCTGCTAGGTTGATGCGCACGCGCGTGTATATTGCATACATATATAAATAATTGTTATTACATTCCATTTCTGTTTTAAAAGTGACATAATTGTTGTTGAAAGATCGCATTAAGACACTGAATATATATGTTTGTATTTAAGCGAAACGGATCATCTTCACTTGACTTCATAAGGATCAAACAAATTGTTGTTCGTTTCTCAGCTTGCGCTCATACGATGAGCTGCTAATAGAATCGTATGTAAGAGATTTAACATGATGATGTAACTCAAGAAAAGCTGTGAAATAATGCGGTATCTTAGAAAAAGAAACATTAAAGTGAATTAGTATCATTCAGCAGGTGTCATTTTGTGTAATTGAATGTATTTGCCACTTTATGAGAACATAATCGAATGATGACAATAAGGTTTATACCACTTCAATTAGGTCAATTAATGATATCCTGCTGTCGATCAGTACATTTTCTTTTTTTGAATTTAGATAACGTTACTTCATTGATGTCATCATCACCTGTTCGAATGATTCCAACAAATCGTCGTCATATATCTTTATGTTCAGTATGTGGAGATAAAGCAAGTGGAAAACATTATGGAGTAATGAGTTGTGATGGCTGTCGAGGATTTTTTAAACGAAGTGTTCGGTAAGAAAAACATCCAAATAATATTTTTAAAGTTAATTTATTTTCTACTAGACGTAAAATCGAATATAAATGTAAAGGTGATTCTACATGTCAAGTTGATGTTAATCGACGAAATCAATGTCAAGCATGTCGATTTCAACGTTGTTTAGCTGTAAAAATGAAACCTAGTGGTGAGAATTATTTACATCTGGAAAATAGAATTATTTACTTTTCATTATACTTAATAAAAAAGCTTTTTTTCCAAGTGTCGTTTAATAGTAATGAAAGACGTGCTTATCTCTTTCTTTTTCTTTTTGCTAGCTGTTCAAAATGAACGAGCACCACGTCATGGATCGAAACGAGTAATATCTACTTCTCGAACACAATGTTGGACACCGCCGACTATCGGGTATGTAACAGAATCATCACAAATGAATATGCCATTTGGTTTTCGAAATTTATCAATTAATAAGTAAGTTTTTATTTATTTTTCTTTAAATGTCGTAAGTAATTTCATATATATATATTAGGTTTAATCAGTGGCGTAAATAAGGAGGGGGGGGGGGCGCGTGCGGCGCGGTACTCCCCCCCCCCCTGCTTCCTAAAACTAATAGAATAAAAGGGGTTTATGCCCCGCTTGCTTCTAGAAAGTTCACTTTTTTGACCATTGAAATAGAAAAACTAGGGTTACGCCTCCCCCTGCTCTGACACCTGACTTACGCCCCTGGGTTTAATTTTCAAATGTAAAATATCTTATTTTATAACTATTGTTTATTTAGTACATCATCTCCAATATGGTCAACATCTCGAATGTTTCTACCGCAACAATCTTTTAATATCTCGAAATGTAGTACATCATTAGATTTATCAAATAATGATGATACACAAATATCATTGGATGATAATAATCTATCAAGAATTTTATGTGAAACAGCTTCATTTATTTTACTTGAATCTATACGTTGGCTTTATTCAGTACCATCATTTAAAGAATTAAATGAATATGATCAATTAATATTAATCGAACAATCATGGTCAATATTATTTCTTTTAACATCAGCTGAAATGAAAAAATTTCTGGAACAAAGTATATAGAGCAAATTTCATTTGATTATATTAAAAATAATTCTCTTTTTAGATGATATTGATTCATTTGATGAAGATAATCAATATATCATATTGCAATCAATTATTAAAGAATTAATTATTCATTCTATTGATCAAACTGAATATACACTTATTAAGTTAATAATTATTTTTAATAATCGTAAGTTATAGAATTTAATAAAATTAAATATTATAAATAGTTTAATTTAGCAATGAATAATGAACTTCATGATCGATTATTAGTTGATAAATATCGTAAAGATGCATTTTCTATGTTAGCTGATTATACAAAAAATGCGAAATATCGTCGTTTAGCTGAACTTTTATTCTTATTATCAAATATTCAAGAAAAAATAAATGGTATCCATTTAGATAAAATCTTTTTTCAACATTTAATCAACCGTATATCAATGAAAAATTTATTACATAATATTGTTCGTCATCTTTCTACATTTATTCAATAGACAAGCAAAAAAAACCTAAATAGAAACTTTTGTTTTTTATTGTATATATCTATATCGCATAAAAGTATTTTTTTTTAAATAATAAAATGACTTGTTTGAATTATATTCTTTCGATTAAAAAGAATATTTTAATAGTCATATGAAAATTATTGTTGATATTTTATTGAAATAGATAGAAAAGTATTACTGCAAAAATAGTTCGAATGTAGTCTGAAAGCTTTATAAATATAAGATTATAATGGTGTTCGTTCATATGAATGTAATGTTAAAAGGAAGAATATTTTCAACTAGATTATATTTATAAGTTAATACTATCAATAAGTAAATTTTATGATTTTTGGCTAAAGCTGTTGTGATAATTATTCTTATGCATTAATATAATGATACATATCAAACATTTGCTATATCGAGAATTTTATACATACTACTAATTGTTAACTTGGATCATTCAACAAGATTCCCATTTGTATAATAACTTGATTTAATCAATAGAAAAATACAATAATTATCTGAAATCTTAGATAACATGGTTTATCAATAATTTGAATCTATGCAATGTTTTTCCTATACAAAAAACATAAAACATTTTCAAATATATATATCTCCTCTCATATCTTCTACGTAACACATTATCTCAGCATTTATCAATTAACGAGAAAATCTTCCGTATTTTTCAACACTTAACAAATTACGAAATACTTAAATTCTGACAGTGTGATAATGAATAGTTTTTGCTTAAGTAAGCAGAAAAAAAACCTTCGATGACAGTATTCATTTGACTGCAAAAATCATAATAACAATTATAAAAAAAACAAATAAGCATTTGACGCCACAGTAATATCATTCATTCATCCATGAAAAAAACCGTTAACTTTTTTTATTAAGAATACTTCACTATTTCTTCTACAAAAAAAGAAATTTTTATCAATTGTATTAATTTTTAAAAAAAAAGTATTACGCATGTACTGAATCAAATTGACTAATGCAAGCTGTTTCTTCGTTTTTTTTATAATTTTCATAATATAGTCTTATATCAATTACATGACGTTATTTATCATACGAAAATAACAGATTAACATTAGTTAAAACCATCTGCTTCTCTAATCTATAAATTTGTACTATAATCAATTTGATATTTATATATCTACACTTATTTGTATATTCAATGATGATTTCCAAGACACATTCTTATCATAATGTGAAAACAATTATTTTGTTCATGTTAGGAGTATGCCATGTAAATAGACGACCAATCACTAAATGTTTACAATAAGATAATATTGACCTTAACGTTTGTATATTTCATAGTATTGCAAAGTCAAAAAACATTGAAAAACTAGTTAATCAAAGCAATTGTTCGGATGTTTTTTAAGAGTACAAAATTTACATAAATTTTAATAATATCCGAATAATTCAATTTGTCGAACGATGCAATGTTGTGATCTCTATCGTCATAACAAATTTCGTTTCACCAGATATATATATTGAATAGTTAACGCTACTATTTTAATTATAAAGAAAAATATTCATTTGTTTTTTTTTACTATGGTTTGATAGTAAATAACGTAACGTCAAATTTCATCTGAACTTTTCGTATTTTTGAAAAAGAAAAAAAATATATCATGAATTTCTTTTCCTTTGCTTCCCTCTCTCAGAACAAATAAATTATTCCTGTTCTTAAAATTAAACAAGTCATCTCAACTACTTGCATACATTCATTTTCTATGGCTGTACAAACCAATCTTTCACAATCAATAATTCGACAACAAATCGAACAAAAACCTCCGGCTTATATTTTACAAAGTTGGCATCGTGAACAAACAGATTTATATGATGATTATCTTTTAAGTCAAACATTTTTAATTGCACCTGACACAAATATACCATCATCGACATTACGACAACGTATAAAAAATATTTATGACGAACGCGCTCGATCTCTCATTGCTGTTGTTCATTGTGATCCATGGACAAAAGAAGAAACTTCAAATGCAACACGAACAAAAACAGCATCGACATCAACGAAAGATCTGCCAACAAATGTAGATGTTATGAGAAGTCATACGATTTTATGAGATATTTTCTAATAATAAAAAAAAGAATATTTTGTTCTGTCTATTGTCTTTCTTTTTTTTTTCGCTTGTTCTTATTATAATGATACACTTTAATCATATGGTAAGCAGCTGTTACGTATGTCGGAAGTAACGATTCACAAATGGATAACAAACATAGTTTGTCCGTACATCTGATTCATCTATAGTTACAAACAAGCAATAATGATTGATCGTTTGAATGATGCTGAAGATAACACCGATTGTTTCTCATAAACTGTTGAAAGGATGAATAGATTTTATATAGTACTACTATTCTAGATAAGAACAGACTTTCTTAATAATCTTTTTATATTCTAAACTATTTTTAAATACTATTCTTATTAAACCACTGAACATGACAACGAGAACCTTCAATCGATTAAGCTCTTAGACAATGTTCTTATTTTTTGTTATGTTATTACCATTGCATTGTCTTTTATAGTCGTAGTCACGAAAACTTAATGGAAAAATAAGAAAGAGCGATGATGAAAAGATGCTTTAGGCAAAATAAGTTAAAGCCAAATACATGTCAAATCATAAGAGATAGTATGATTTCTTTTTTCTATTTTTATGAATCAATCCTTTCTATTAATTTACTCATGTAGTGGGGACGTTCCATCGTTGAAGATAATGAACAATTCCATCAACAGTAAAAGCAGTAGGTCGATATAGTAGAAGAATAGTGACAAAAAGAGAAGGCAAAAAAAATCGATGGACGGCTAGCAATTGCGTTTTTCAGCTTTTCTTCTCTCTGCCTATTCTCATACATGTACTCATGTCTTTTCTCTCGTTTTTTTTTCTTCTTCTTCTTCTTCTTCTTTTCTCTTCTCCCTCGTCTTTTTGCCTCGTTGCCAAACGGTCTCTTGTTTGCTTGCTTGCTCGTCTCGAAGACAAAAGGTTAAAACTTAGTAGCACTAAGCAGCATACACGTTATTGGCGACACGGACATATATACAAATCGACAACGGCAACCTAGAATCATTTAATTAGAAAATACAAGACAACGACAAGTATGAAATACATGTGATTTTTAATAGGTACATATATTCTAAATAAATAGAAAGTTTAGAGTTCATATTCATTGAGTAATACATTCCTCAATGAAACAACCATCGTTCTCTCAATCTAACTATATAAGTGTATAAGTGCGTATGGTAGCATCTGGCCCTGGTTAGATTTTTTTCTAATAACGGAAAAGAGAGCGATTATCCTTGTATTCACAAATGATAATATTCTTCTTTGTCATCAATTATGACAAAATCACAAGGTTATTATAAGACAGAAAAAAAAAGCTGATGAGAGTTCCTTGCTGACATATCGTCTGATATTATGGAAACAAAACACCAGGATTAACCGTCTTTATTTGTCATTCAATCAAGCATATGCGCAGGCTCCCTGGAGCGGCTAGTTGACATTATGATTTTATTAATCATTTTCTCATTTATTCATTTTAAATTTGATCCGACAAGTTCTTTTTTTCTTCATTTAGAGAAATAACTAATCAAAAAAGAATTAGCAATAACATAGTTATGTCATCAATTTTTTTGCTTGTCTCCTATGATGTCTCTATGTATATTTTATCAATCTGGACAAGTATAAGCAGACCAAAACATAGCTAGAGGAAAAAAGAAGAAGAAGAAAAAAAAAGTTCCTTTTTGCATAGCAAAGAGATATTGTTGATTGACTTAACTCATTTATCTTTTTTTTTTCTGGTTACCCTTCTCTGTTTATCTGAATATAATCGTATCGATCTTTACGCGACATGAATAGGAAAAATGAGAAATGAAATAAACTGTCTAATTCTTTGTATCTTTTCAAGAGATCGACAAATTCTATAAATAATCATTATCCCAAGAGTTAAAAATACTACAATCGAAATGTAATTTATTACATTAGAAATATTCTCCTGTGTATATTAAAACAAGCTACAGAATTTCTATTCATAATAATATCTACTTCGTTTGTAATTTTTATTTTCATTCCCAAATATAATATAGAATTGTATTGCATGATCATATTAATTAGGCATATTTATTAGAAATTTCGATTTATTTTACATATTTCAGCTCATATAATTTATTCAGAAAAAAAACGACATTCTCATAAGAATACTTTCTTCTCTAATTGATCTAATTGAATTAAGTAATGTATAAGCTACGTTATTAATAGTCTCCGTATAGAAAAAGGATTTTTTATTGATTATTACTAATTCCATTTATTATAAACATAGTTTATAGTTTTTTAAGTACAAAATCGTATGTTTTCTTATTTAGTTAATACAGAAAAAGAAAATCGAGGTCAATCTATAAAAAAAACTATTCTATTGTTCTAATTAAATAAATCTTTACATAAAAATCAAGAAAATGTTCAATTATAAGATAACATGTTTCTCAATTTATAAAGATAAATATATTAAAGATGATTTTCTCAAGTACATTTTCATGGAATAAATATTTACCAAAACAAAAAACTATTCTTTCAATCACGCCCATGCACTTATTTCATAAGTTTTCTCAAGACAATGTTTTTTCCTAGACAATACATCTAGTTACTTGTTCTTTTATTTAATTATTTGATTTTCTATTATAAATTGTGTGATAATATAAGAGATAACAAACATCTTATAATATTAATAGAAAAAAAGAAATTTTCATTAAGTAAGATGATCATTTACATGGAATAAGAAATCAGAAACTTTATTTTTTCTCATTGAGAAGTATTTTTGTCGAGTTTAATCTTTCTAAAGTCTTAGTTCTATAAATAACTAATTAATATCGATCGAATTAATGCCATTAAAGTCATAAAGTACTTGTGAATAGCATAATGACCCTATAAGTTCTTTTTACTTATTTCGTTTGTCAAGATTTTCTCTGTTGGATTTCTCTTAGTAGAAAATCAGTATGTTATTTTGATAGACTTTTCTTTGTTTATCATCCTATTGAAATACATTCGTCGAGAAAAATATGTTTGCTAATAAGTAATTTCATTTCGAAGAACACTTCTAATTTCGTTATAAATAATACAAACATAAAGATAAACAACTTCATTTCTATTTATATATATAAAATGTTTTATAAAAAGAAATCGGGTTTTCTCTCTTCTTATTCTTATATCAATATAATGACTTTCTCAGTATTGTAAATAATGATTTATACTGTAATATGAAACTAATGTTTATTTAGATTAGTAAATAGAAATAAATGCAAGTTTGTATTATATCATACACCCAGACACAATTGAATCGACTATCAATGTACTCAATGACATGCATATATTTAAGTAATAAGAATTAAAATTCATAGTAATTGAGTGTTATACAACTATTATTAGATTGTATTTGTAATTTAATTATTTTCGAATTGATTCATTTGATTTCATAGGATAGATGTGACTGGAATTTTTACGAAAGCATTCAATCTAAAATTTTATATATAACTATCGAATATTCATTACCATTTGTCATATTTAAGAATGCATTCATCGCTCAAAAGAAGAATGGAGAATAAAATATGATGTAGTTGCACATTAAATTAGACGATAGAGTTAAGATAAATCTAAAGAATAGATTTATTTTTTGTTCTTTGGACATATCGTATGTTAATAGAGAAAAAGAAATCAATTTATCAGCTTAAAGGTTTCTATTAATAAGTTACTCATAGGATAGTACTAATTTGGAAATAATTTATTTTTATTATAAGCTGAATTTAGAAATAATTAGGACATACTAAATCAATTAGGAATAAAATCTGGAGATATTCTGCTCTAATAGACGTCAATATTTAATTAATTTCGTTAGTTTTTTTTTTATATATTATGAAAATTATGGTAGTTAGAAATTTGTCGTTTTTATTATATGAAGATGTATGAGTGATCAGCAAAATTTTGTTAATCTATTTTAGTTATGAACTAATCACTTTTTATTATAGAGGTTATTTCATTCTTTAACTCAATAGAACAAATCAATAGGAAAGACATTTTTATGTTAATATACGTAAAAGCAATCTTTTCAATTGATTCTATTCAGAAGTGATAAATATATTGTTAGGAACCTTGGAACTGATTATAGATTAGCCTGAATCGCATATTCAGCTGTTGACAGAACATATTTAAGTATACACATGCAGAATTAGTTTGGAAGCATTCTATGTTCTTGGAACCTTGTTTAGATAAAAAAAAGGAGTAAACATTTTTTGATTTTAGATCTTATTCATCTATTTCATATTCAGTAGCAACGCAATAAATTAAATGAGAGATGATAATAATAGTAGCATTACATTTGTGACTTTTACAGGTACTGGCCTGATTTAAATACCTTTTGCATTTGTCAACTCAATAATAATAATCATTAGAAGTGTTTCTATTATATTTCTTTCATATATTAAAATCTAGCGTGTATTACAAGTAAGTTACTACGACGATAAAATCTTTTTTTGAATTCCTTCGATGACAAAAAAAAGGACATAATGTCAACATGAGGTTATTACAATACAGCTTGTACATTACAGAAAATGGAGGATATTAGCAACTGCATAGCTAAATACATTCGACAATATGGTAGATATATATGTCACAGAAAATATTTCCTTTTTATGTTTCTTGGTTTCATTTATACATAGAAAGCAGTACTATATTGTTTTTTGTTTTCGATAATATTGAAAACAAAATAATGCTTGTTTACTAATTCTATAAAATATATCGATTTTTTTACGTTCAGGTAAGATATTGATGACGGCATTTAAAAATAAAATGTTTTTAATTATGTAAAATCTATAGGAAAAAATATTTGTCCTTAAAAAAATATCGATATTCCTTATATTTTTACAACAATAGTGATTACGGAACGTTGATTTTGAATAGAAATACTCGAAATAGATTAGGGATGTCTGCTATTCATATTCATTATTTATTAACAACTTATATTATAAAAGCTATGCTATAAATAACAAAAGTTCTTATTTCATTTTGATTTCACTTCAGGAAAAAATAATTTTTTTTAAATTTTCAAAAAAAATTAGGTAGTACATTTTTTTCTCTATAGACTAATTCTTAGTATTCATTCATATAATAAGAGTAATAATTAGGATCATTTTTACATATTAAAAGTTAATCTTCTTCTTATAGATATAGGTCATAAATAATCTTTAGGAAACATAGAAATATGAATATATGTCTAGCACTTATTGAACTGCAATCAATAGAATATTTGTTAAAGATAAAATAGATAATGTATCAATGACAAATGCCATATTCTTTTTAGCTTATTTACATCGATTACATTCATCTGTCTGTCGTTTTATTTCTAGTTTTTTTTCGATAAGCTAGATAATATATTGTTATATGATCCATAAATGAAATACAAGAAAAACAAAAATTTCTAATGATTTAATTAAAGAAATATTCTATAAATACACTAGATGATTGCTTATATTTCTATAGATGATCATAGAATAATTCATTTTTTATGAGCATATAAGACAATACATTTTGTTTTTAATCCCGATCTTCAATTTTTTATCTATGTTTATATAAGAGTGTTTGTTTGAATTTCCAAATGAGAATCATTATTCATTTTTATATATATTTATCACGAGTGAAATTTTAATTGATTTTTTATTATAGGAAAAAAAACCCATTATCTATTCTTTTCTTTTTATACTCATCATTTTCTCTTTTCTGTCTTCTTCTTCTTCTCATTTCTGATGAAAACAAATTTCTCGAAGAAATATATATAAATTAAACTGCGACAGATTGCATTCTGTTCTTCTTCTTTTGCGTTTTTATTTTTATTAAATATGTCGACGTAACAGATACGCCTGTTGATCCGGTGTACGCTTTCAAACGAAGAAACAAAAGTCTTGTGATATTATATTTGTGTGATTAATATCTGTTCGCTAGAAATATACAAAGAGAGAACAAAAGAAAGAAAACGGAAATAGTAATTTGAGAAAAGCTGTACAATGACAATGGCACAAACGCCAACATTTTTCTTATCGCATCAATATAAAAGGGTTCACTTTTATAGGTAAATATTTTTCTTTTACTACTATGCATATATTGTTATCTAAACATTATTATTCAAGTATAATACTTAGCGAGACAGATTCTATTTTCTAAAAAAAGGAAAAAGTACTTTATTTAATTCAACTCTAGACGTTGACTTTTACGCTATTACTATTTTAAGTAGATTTATGACAGTTTTATTTGTAATCTCGTTTTCCAGCTAAGTATATTCGACACACAATCTTATTTATTTCATTCCCCTGAGGATGTAATAATTCCTTTTGTCTAATATAAAAACTCATAATATTGATCACATTTTTATCTTATATGGTTTATTACCATAGCTTTAATTTACTCTCTCTATATTCTAACTAGCGCTCAACTCATGCATAGAATAGTTAAAGAATATGGAAAGAATTTTTGTTGTCTAATGAAGGAGAAATTATTTGTTGGAGTGAAAATAAAACTAGTTAGCATGAAAGGTAACCTAATGAAACAATGATGTATACTATAATTATAAAATCTGAAATAATTTATTCAACAAGACACCCACACATATGAGAGTACTTATCATAAAAGGTGAGAATGATATATATATATATATAAATTTAAATGAACATAGAATAGAAAAATAATACTTTTCATAGTTAGAAATTAAAGAAAATATTTTATTAATAAATTAATAAAAATTTCATAAGTATTTCTTGTGATAGAATAATTAATTGGATATATTTCCTTTCGCTTAGAATGTATGAACCAAATTTTAATGATATACCCGATGATAATGAAGATAATGAAATTGTTAATGAAGATATACCAGAAGATACAACAACAGCGTATATATCTCCAAATAGTTCACGACCTACAATTCATTGGGGTCCCATTGTTGATGGTGATATAAATGGTAAAGAAGAAATCAATACAGATACAGATCATTTTGATGCATTATTTGCACGTTCAAATGCATCATCACCACCTCCAACTCATCCTCGTTGTTACAGTTCATGTTCACCAGCTACAGCTCCATCTTTATTACCAACAAATACATCAACACATCTTTATGCACGATCGCATCCATTATTATCATCTTCACCTTCAACGAAGCGAAAACAATCACAAGATGCAGCAGCAGCAGCACTTAATACAAATCATCGACAATCTATATCATCATCACCTCCGAAAACTCAACCAATAAATGGTAATTCAGCTCGTACTAAACGTAAAAATTTCTCTTTAACACATACAGCGCAAACATTTCTTCAAGCATCCAATAGTCAAAATGAACCGCTAGAACCATTAGCACGATCATGTTCCTATAAACGTCCGCAATCAATAAAGAAATATCGTCAGAAGAAAGAAAAAGAACAGCAACGACAACAACAAGATTTTCCCGCACGCAAATATAGCACAACAGCAGTACCACAGAACAATTATGTTTCTCATACAGTTACATCTGATTCTTCTCGCAAGTCAATTACAGCTCTAACACCAAGAATTTCTGCTGCTGATACAATGACAACAGACGATTCACAAGATCAATGGTCAACACAAAATGCTCAAAGATCAGAACGAATAGGTATAATAAATGAATTTTTTTCTTATATAATTAATTTGTACCAGCTGTTGCTTTAATTAACCAGAAAAATAAAGGTCATATAGGAATAACCTTGATATACTATTTGTTTGATTTATATTATAACAACAAACATAAAATATAACCTAAAATTATTCTTCATAGGTTCATTAACGCTTGATCAATTACAATTACCAACTGATGGTGGTGAAGAAATTTATCTTGTAAGACAATTTAATACAACATCGAAAGGATTTATTAATCGAGGGTAAAATTTGAAAAAAAGATTTTTATAATTATTATGTGTGTCTTCGTTTAGAGATTCATTTAAACGTTCATTTAAACGTAGTGGTTCAATAAGTCGACGTAGTTCATTTCGAGCTAATTCAAATATGACAACAAATGATCGTACATCATCTCCTGAACATGATCTAAATACTTCTCCAACATCGGCAAAAGAAATACGTACGAGTACACATTCATTATCGAATTCTGTTGGAATTAATCTTAATGGAATACTCGATACTCACTATATCGATAATAATCTATCACCATTAATGGTTCCTTTACAAGATCAAATCGAAAATGATGAGGATGATGATGAACAACTTGTCGAACGTATTCAAACAGAAGATGGTCGTGTACAAGATGTACATGTTTATCAAGTTTATTTACTTGGTATGAGTGGTACAGGAAAATGTTCACTTATGCGACAATTTAAATCGACGGAATACAGAGGAATATATGATTATTCAAGTTCTCTCGGTATGTATATATCTACAAAAATATCAAGAAAAATGAATCATTGATAGCTGACACTAATGACATATATATGCAAATGTTCTTAAAGCACAAAAACAAGAAATTATCATCTTTGTATATATATAGATATTGACTTTTGTATGAATTCATCGATTAGACTGAATGAAATTCAAAGAATATAAGAAAAATGTTAGTATAAAGTCTAATAACAATCTTTATGACATTTTCAACAGGAAGTAAAAGTAGATATAATAATTTACTAATCAGAAATAGAATAGAAGTTTTTTTTCTTCTTTTTTTTACAGTATAAAATATTAATCAATATTGTATATAGAAAAAAAGATTTTCTCGTCATAGAAACTAAATTTTCTATGTCTTCATATATCCATGTAATTAAGTAAAAGCTTTGTACTAAATTCCATCCTGTTTGAAAGACACGAGAAATAATCTTTCCTACAAATGTTCTATAATAGGCATCAATAAATAAACATATATAGCCAGAAAGCTAATGATCTTTATTGCACTATATGTTTAGATTATTAGCATCTCTTAATATAGAAAAAAAATAAGAAAAACACTATTAAGAAAACAGGATGTCAAACACTATATGATTGTATATGTATAATTTCCCAGAAAAAGAAAAAAGAACAAATTTTAATATGCAGAAATTTAACTTTTTGAATTTTTTCATAGATGATGATCCAGACAATACCGTACCAATAATGCTTGATGGTATTGAATCACGTTTACATATCATAACTATTGATGTTGAACAAGTATATATATATAGATAGATAGATAGTTTTCTTTAAAAATTATATATATATTCTATATTTAGATAAAAACAAGTGTTACAGGTGATGCTTATATTGTAGTTTATTCAATAACAGATCGTCAATCATTTCAAACAGCATTACAATTAATAAAAAATATTCGTGATACTGAATCATTTCATAATCAATCATCGATAAAACGTCATATACCAATTATTTTAGTTGGAAATAAATCTGATCTTGTACGAAAACGTTCTGTAACAAAAGAAAGTAAGTTTTTCTTTTATTTTTATTCAAAAAAAGAAATTATTGTTTTCCTATAAATTTAGCTGCTCGTCATGCAGCTTTGAAAGCTAATTGCAAATTTGTTGAAACATCAGCTGCAATCAATGATAAAGTTGATGATTTATTAGCTGGTACATTGAAACAAATTCGTATAAATGAACAAATTCGAAATGAACAAAAACGACGTTTAACAATAACAAATGGAAGTATTGATACAAATGATTCTGAAATGCCTATATTACCTAATCTATCACAACGAAAAGGTTCAACAACAAATAATCGAAGTTCGAAAAATGTTTTTTCAAAATTTTTAAATGTTTTTCGAAAAAAACCATCAAGATTACCATCGGATGTAGAAAATTTAAATACGGCTAATTGATATAGAACATCTAAATTGCTAGACATTTTATTTTGTATATATTATAAAGATATACACATATTTAAAAAAAAACACTGTAGTTTTTGCTGTACTTTTTCAAAAGAAAAAAAAGAATATTTTGTTGCTGTTCGACGGCTAATATATTAATAAATACATGTATTGTGTAAATATTAAATAACATTAAAATGCATGTTTATTTGCTCAATATTCGGCGATATAAATCGAATTTGATATTGTTTATCTTCAATTTAAAAAAAACACATATTTTCATGATATTTTATTTTATTTTTATTTTTTTGTATTTTTTGTTTGATTGACATGTATTTATTCATGATGATAGAGTACCAGAGTTCATCCGTTATTGTAATAATATGATGTGTCTTTTTCAGAAAAAAAAAATTATAATAGAAATTCTTCTGCTGTCGACTTTAATTTTATATAAAAATATGAATTCGTATTTTTCTTTTTACAATAGAAAAACTATAAGAAATATTTATACATAAAATTTTATCATTATCAAACTTTTACGAAGAATTAAATAAATAAATATTCATTCTGTCGAGGATTTAGATGATACTTTTCTCTTCAGCGGCACACCCGCACCCTCAAGATGGTTTTGTTTGGAGCCTTGTTCACTTTTAATATATTCATTCATCAACGATTGGTGTGATATATATCCACACACATCATAACGTAAGGGTGAGTGAAGGCGCTATAATATGTTAAAAGGGTATAAGTACCCTCCGATCTGTAATAATTATTATATTAATTAAGATTTTCGAAAATATTTAACAACTGCTCTCGATGTTGAATTCAAAATGAACGAAAAAGTTAAGAAAAGACCAGTGATGATTCATTTGACGGAGTTTAACAGATAAAAAATTTCAATGTGCACGTCTGAAGTATGTTACATCTATTCTTCTTGATTAGAACAATCTATTTTCGAAGATAATAAATCTAACTAATAACGTTAGTCACACACTCATAACGTAAAACATGACGTATATATATATGATAGACTACTTGAATATTTCTACAGATTATCTCATAGAAAAATACTTGTGATAACAAATAAGATATCTTAAACTGGAAAAAAACGAAAAGAACATATCGAGGTTATACGACAGAACGAAACAAAGAGTATGTATATATATATAGAAAAGAAAAGAAAATATATTAGATAATCTCTAATGGAATTTTCCAAGAAATATTCCATAACAAAGTAGAACATGTATATATATTTGATCGTGTAGCCAATATAGGTATCACAAATTTTCAGCGACGATCCAAATGACCGTTCATAACGAACTATTACCAAAAAGTCACAAGATATTTCGTTTTGGCACTGGTTTTGTATTGACACTAACTGATAATCAAATCAACAAAATACCATATCTAGCTGCACTTGTCTCTACTGCTGATTTTTTTGAAGCTGCACGTGATGATCAAGGCCATTTTATTATTCATCCCAACATCGATATCAAGCAGTTTCGTTTCATCTTAGACTGGTTTCCATGCCGTTTTATACAAGATATTTTCATTCGTCTACCTGACGACTACGATACAGTATCAGCTATTGTTCACATGGATTATCTTGGCCTTCTCAATCATTCAGATCCATCTTTGGATGAAGTAGATTCATCTTTTTTCGGTATTACCTACAATCCACTAACTAATTTGTATACCGAAAAAATTCGACCATCAGAACTGCGGGACATGGCTGTTCGATTCGCAATTGCACTCATTAGAGAAGCATATGACGTAACTGATGACAAAGTGCATGATCGAATCTATTGGTATGTGATGTTCATCATTAGTGCTCATACATTATTTGATCCAAATATTCGTTATCATGTGTACAATGTGGCTAAACATTATTTTAGTTTATTTAATCCATGCCTGATTAAACGTTTAAATCGCCTTCGAAGCATTCAAGATAAATATGCACAATTGAATCGATTAAAGACAAATGATCAATTTAGGGAAGCGAAGTATATGGAAGAGAAGAACTTGACATCACTGACTGACACTCATATTTATGCTTATGAAAAATTATCTTTCAAATCTATTACAATATTGAATATTCGTCCCGATTTCTACAATTATTCGGACAATGAACGCAAAGATCTTTTTGATTCAAAACGGGGACCTTTTATAGAAAAACTTCTGCAACCATTATACAAAGCTTTGATAGAAGTTATATATGAGCGGCTACAAAATCAAATATGCCATTGTCTACATTATGATTTACGTGAGGCTCCATTTTCTTCACACTCATTTGATAAGCCTTCAGATGACAGCCTAAGATTTTCCATTTGGTCTTGCTATTTTAATTCTTTTATAACACCAATGATCACAAATACACAAGAGATTGCTCGCCATATTTACAATCAACGAATGATTTATAAGTTGTTTGAAAAGGAAGTCTCAAAACAAGAAATACAATGCTTGATCATGGATGGCTTATCTCATTTGAAACCTACACTTGAACAAAAGCATCGTCAGTTAATTCATGAGATGCAGGCACTTCAAGCAGAGGAAGATATCGTAAATACAAATAATAATCGTCGATATTGGCATCGGTTTTTTAGGTTTTTGCCTTTATCTGAACTCGAGAGAAAGCGAAGAGAAGCATTCGTGTACGAGCAGCTATTAAACAGATTTAATCAACCATCGAGATTTATTCAAGAAATAGGGTGGGAGTTGCGTGCAAAGCTCCGCGAAGCTGTTGAGAATCAAATTGCCGGATGGATCAGTAACACATATGAAGCATATGACCTTGGTCGAAGTATTTCAGAAAACATTCTTGAACACACTGATTCTACAGTCTACAAGACACCACGACGAAATCATCAAAAGTTCATATACAAGCCAATACCTACAATAAAATCAAATGTTTTCAGAAACCGATTTTATTAATTTTTTTCACACGAAAAACTTGTGAATGTATTTTTAATGTATAATAAAATTTCATTGATCGATGTCGGGAGTTTGTTAGTGTGAAAATGCTATGATTAAGGACGAGGGATGGTTTGTCCACGAAATGATCCTAAATGAAAAATATTACATACATGTCTTGCAAAAAGGTACCTTTGAAATACAATCAGTCAGATTATATAGATAATCAATTGAAAATGTAGTTTAAGGATTTCTTTATCATGATAACATTAATAAAAGATATAATTATTTTTATTTGTATTTATTAGTCTTTAAAAATGAATTTATTTGTTTTGTTTAAAATACAAAAAAAAACACGATTTCTTTAAAGTTTATCACAATCGTGAAAAAATGTCTTTTTTTATTGAACATTAAGAAATTCATTGATACTAAGTTCATGACGTTCAAGTACAAGACGTCGAATACGTATTTGTTCAAGTACTTTTTTAACTGATCTTTCCAAATATGGATTCGGATAATTAGTATAGAATTTCTATGAATAAAACAGAAAAAAACAAAATCTATTTTATTTTAAATCTAAAACATACTTGAACTTCTTCAGCTCTTTCTTTACTAATAAATAATCCTGGTACGGTCTTGTTAAAAATAAATAAAATCAGAATAAAATTCAATAGATTTTATTAGAACTAAACTTACTTCAATAAAATGTACTAAATGTGAATCATGTCGACCATAAATACTTTCAATTTTATTCCAATTATTTTGCATATATGTCCAACACATTTCACAACCTTGTCGATTATGTTGTGCTAATGAAGCAAAACCAGTTAAATGATCTTGTTTTCGAACTGCAGTCTTAAATAAAAAATATTCATATTTAATTTAAACATAAAAGTTAATAAATCTATACCGTATTCCAAATAAAAATCAATGCTTGACGTTGAAAATATTCATCATCAAAACGGCATAGTGCAGTTAATAAACGAATACGTTCTTCTTGTGTATCAGCTTTAAGATAAAGCTAAAATTATTCATAGATGTTTAAGATATTATGAAAATATTTCTAAAAAAATTACCGATTTAAGTTGATCAAACGTCTGTTGATTTCCTGTTTTAGCTACAGTTAAATAAATCGCAGCACGAATATTTGGATTAATCAAATGATAATCATTATTTTGCATAGAAAAATTTTCAAAACGTTTATGTGCTTCAATTCGTGTTTGATCATATGCATTTATACCCATATATATTAATATTAAACTACGCAACATTGGTATTTGAGAATCTTCATTTGGTAATGCATCCCATCCGATTTTATTATAAATATTTGATAAAAGATCACATACATAGGATTGATATAATATTTTTGTATTATTTAATTGTGCATATTCAAATATTGAACTGAGTTCCGTTAATTGTCGTATTATAGATTTCCATACAGTTAAATTATCTTCATATTTATAAGCATAACGAAGTAATTTTAAATAATCAACATAACCTAAATGTCCAGCACGTGCTAATGCATATACATCAGTTTGAATATTAAAACGATCTTGAGGTGAAAGTGTATGATTTTGAATACCGGGTGTTAATGCCTCAAGCATTGATTGAGGATAATGAACACGATATATACCAACACTTAATAAAGAAAAAAAGAATACTTATGAAGTATTTATTAAATCATCAACTCTACCTAAATAAATTTAATTTAATCCATTCTGTATCAGGCACTTGTTTTAGGAGAAATTCTTGTTTTTTTTCTCCATTTAAATATAATTGAAATACACTACTATTTGGACTTGATTTTGTACAAATATTTATTGGTATTTTCCATTTTAAACTATCGTCTCTTGTTCCATCAGCTAGAAATCTTGTTTGTTCAATTGTTAATAATCGATCATTTCCTCTTTGCTCTTGATTAACCTTTATTTAAATAGAACCATATACTTATATAGTTTTTTTTGATTAAATAAATCTACCATAAGAAGAGGATAACCAATTTGTTTCGTCCATGTTGATAATACATCAGATAAATGAGTTCGATTTGATGCTTTTGATAAATGGAACCAAAGATTATCTGTTATTGTATTTTTATATGCATATTCAGCAAGATAATTTGACAGACCACGACGAAATGCTTCATTACCAATATACGCATGAAGTAATCGAATAACACTAGAACCTAAAAATATTATTATTATGTTTTTCTTAATTCAAAAAAAAATAAGAATCAGATTAATATGAATTTCATACCCTTTCCATACGTAATATCATCAAATATTTCATCAATTTCACTTGGTTTACGTATAGATACTTCAATTGGATGACTACTTTGTAATGCATCAGGTATCATACAAGTTGCTAATGTATCCGAAACAAATTGTGTCCATATATCATATTCCGGATAAACATGATCAACAGCAAGAAATTCAATCCATGATGCAAAACTTAAAAAGATAAAAAACAAATTAAAAATAAGATTTCTCTTATTCCTATATACTTATCTTCATTAAGCCATAAATCATTCCACCATTCCATTGTCTTAAAAAAAACCATTTTTTCAATAAAAAGAAAATATATAACTTACAACTAGATTTCCAAACCATTGATGTGCTAATTCATGTGCAACAACAAGTGCAACTTCTTGTCGAGTTTTTTGTGTTGATATATGTGTATCAACAAGTAGATATGTTTCACGATAAGTTATTAATCTAAATAAATAACATTACATTACATTTCAATATATATTTCCTTTAATTATGTCATGTGTACCCCCAATTTTCCATTGCACCTAAAAGATAATAAATAAATAAAAATTTATACATATATATAAATTAGATTAATTCACCGGAACCAAAATCAGCAATAGCAATCATGTCAAGTTTACTTAATGGATATTTAATACCAAAATATTCAGCATAGAATGGAAGAATTTTAGCAGCCGTCTATAGAAATTAACTTAAATATAGATATAGATATATAAAAAGACTAACTGTTAAAGCAAATAATCCTTGTTCTTTCTTTCCAATTGGTGTATAAACACGTATTAATACATTATCTGAATCACGTGTTTCAACATAATCATAATGTCCAATAACATAAGCAACTAAATAAGTCGACATAATTGGTGTTGAATCAAATTCATAAGTATACGTATTATTGTCATCAGCATGTTTTGATTTAATCGGCTAATTAAATTTATGAAAATGAATTAGATTTATAAAGAATGTCTTTACTATACCATATTACACAATGTTGTTAAATGTTTAGGAGCACGAATAGTTATTGAAAAATTAGCTTTAAATGATGGTTCATCAAAACAAGGAAATGCACGACGAGCATAAGCAGCCTAAAGGAAAGAATTATAGAATAAATTAAATTAATACATAGAAAATCTTACTTCAAATTGTGTGCATGCACCTATATGCTCGTGATTTTTAGTTCGATAAAATCCATGAAGTTGATCATTTATTCTCCCCTTAAATGACAAATATACACGGCCATGTCCAATCTAAAAAAGAAGCAGTTATAAATAAATTTTCAATATTAATTCGTTAGTTACATTGATTCGATGTGAAAATTTAAGTCTAATTTGTTCATAAACATTATCATATTCAACTGTTCCATAAGAGAATAAATCGGTATCATTCTGTTGGTATCTTACTCCTGTAATATTCAAGTCAAAACTATTTAAAATAATTTCATTGACAATTTTATTTATCTAAAAAATGTTCCAATCAACATTATTCTTCTTATTAATTTCAATATATTTTACTTGAATATCAATATCTACAGTTCCATGAAAAACAAATTGTTCAAGTTGACTACTATCGATATACAGTCGATAGTTCGATGGTATAATAGTCGTTGGTAGACGATGAGTGAGTTCACTAGATAATTTTGGTATAGAACGTGTTAGATAGTCTAAATACGATCATATATAAACGATATTTGAAGTAATCTTTTGTTTAATAAAAGAAAAATAAATCATACAAATAAAAAATGGGAAAACAGCAACAGCCACAGCCAATAAAAAAACAATAATAGAAATAAACGTTTTAAACCAACAACAAACGTCACCGAACAGTTTACGATCTAGTTTCTTCATTATTAGACTGTCTATTGTTTTTCTGTTTCTTTACGAATATCACAGATAACCGACATGTCTGTATATCGACAGAATAAAGAAAATAGAATCACGTGCGACTTTTTGTCCTAAATAATTAGTTTTTTTTTGTCTTAGTAAAGGCGTGGCGGCAAATTTTTCATAACAATTGTCTCGGTTTTTCAACAAGTGTAGGTGTTAACTTGTCATTACCTTTTCAATTCTTTGTCAAATATGTCAGCAACATCAACACAGAAACAACAACAACAACAACGCTATCGAATTAATAATAATAATACCCATCAATCACGTAATACAAATGCTTACATTGATCGTGACGTTTATCATCGACAATCATTAATGAATAATAATAATAAGAATTATTACTGGAATCATGATTATCGTGGATCAAATGATGATTTTTATTTAAACGATTATTATCAACATCGAAATACATATTCGCAACCAACTCAACATATAAGAAAGGGACGACAAACAAAACTTGTACACCAATATAATTCTAAATCTGTTTTTTCATCATCGAATAATAATCATTCATATTATGATAATATACCGCCACGTCATCGTCAACAACAACAAATTGATAAACGAGAAGAACGTACAACTCATGTACAAGATTCACGAATAAATAATCAAATTAAACATTCAAATAATGAACAATCAACAAAACCAATGAAATCAATTTCATCAAGTAGTACAAATTCTGAGATTACAAATAATGTTGGATTGACTAATCGAAAAGATTTACATACGAAAAATTTAGCTACAGCGGCTATTGCAGCTCGACAACAAAATCAACAAGGACAAACAAATCTAGGTGTTGTTCAAACATTAATGAATTCTCTTATTTTACAACAACAACAACAACCATCACAATCACAATCAACAGTTCAATTACAATATCAACTTACAAATGCTCTTTTAGCAACAAGTATATTATGAAAACTAATATAAAAAGAATAAAGTATTTCGTTTTATGGCTCTAGTGATTCAACAACGTCTCAAAGAAACTGCACTTCAAGCTCAAGCACAACAAATTCAAGCTGCTTTACCAACATTATTAGCAGCTCAAGCTCTTGTCTATCAACAACAACAACAAGGACATCTAACAGTTAATCAACAACAAAATCAATCTGCTCTATCACCAAATGTTGCACATCCAGGCACGAAATTTAATAATCGTCCACTTGTTAAATTTCCTATCACACGTCCAATAATATCGTCATTAACACCAGGTATGATAATACCCGTTATTCGACCAACTGTTTCAACAAATCTCTTACGTCATCGATTAGGAACTAATACTCAACAAATATATTCAACAACTGTCTTACCAACTTATCAACAAGTACAAGAAATTGAACGAGGAATTTCATTGGGTGACGCTATTCATTTAAAAAATGCTATTGATATTGCTGATGTAAATAATAATAATGCAGATACAACTCCAAGTAATAATAATATCATCGAATAAAAAAGATGATTGAAAGACTAATTCTTTTTTTTTGTTCTGTACATATAGATAGAATAATCTATATTTTTCAGTTTTATTTTAAAAACAAATAAAATAAGCCTTGTTTTTCTTCGAAAGTTATACAATTTTGATTAAACGAATAATTCTCATCGGTAAAATATTTGAATGCTTGCAATGAGTCAATACATTATACGATCTAACTTATCAGTGTGAAGAAAATATATTTATACTGAAAAAATTATTTAACCATTTAGATGTTTTGTGATAAAAATAAAGATTCAAAAGAGACTTTTTTTTTGGAATATTAAACTTGTATTTCTTTATACTTTATTTCATTATAACTCAAATTATTATTTCCATATTCTTGATTATAAACATACAAATAAAAAAATTATTATATTTCAATTATATTTATTATATTCGAAAATATATGAATACATTTCATTGCATGCTTGGAAAATTCTAAATTATTTTTAAAAATAATTTTAATCATATTATTCAACTAGTTATCTTTATCATATATATATTTATATAAAGTAAAAAGTACCTATCTCGAATTTGTCTGTAATTGTTGATATATATTTTTCTTTTTCTAAAATAAGATTTTTTATAATATAATATACCTGAACAAAGCTAAAAATTCGAATAAATTATAAATATTCTTGATATATATATATATATTCCTGGAAATTTCATTTATCTGATTAAACAAAACTTACCGAAATTGTTTTTGGATATTCTGTCGGAAAATATTAAGAAAGGTATCTTGTTACCCAGTACACAACTCAGCCTCCTATATTCACTAGAAAAATGAGATATATATAATGCTAAAAAGCAAATTTTTTTTTCTTGTCTTTTGTATCTGTCAATAATTATGAGACCGGCTCATAATTCTCAGCTAGAAATAGAACAGAATGATCATATAATGTAAAGACATATAGACTTATACAAATAATGTTTGAAGAAAAAGAAAAAAAACAAATACAAGTAACATTCGATGATGATGATGATGATGAGACAGACGAGATTTTGTATAGATCGTCGATATTTTTCGAAAAAAATGAAAAAAAAATCATTGTCTTCTAAGGAAAACACATAAACATAAGTAAATCAATTTTGTTGAATAAGATAAAGACGAAGAGAAGAATAAATCATTCGATTCCTACAAATAATGATAAAGAAAGAACAAAAAAACAAAAAGAAAAAGAAGAAAGTTTCGTTAATAATTTAGTTTTATTTTATTACAATGATGACTTACAAACATCATTGAATTTTATACATAAAAATATATCTTTTTAAGTTAAATTAAACAAAGAAGAGATCTTTACTTTGATTGCTTACCTTAAGAATATGGTATCATTTATGAATTATTACCATTTGTAGAATTTGATTTTGCTGCATTAGCCCATTGTTGTGCATAAGCTGCCCAAGCATCACCACCACCACCAGCTGACATCATCAACGCAGCTGCTTGATTTGGATCCGTAGTTGAACTCGTCGAAGATGAATTTGTCGTAGTTGAACCAGGCTAATAGAAAAAAAATATTAATTACATTCAAAGAAAAGAAATAGAATTTCCTAACTTGTTTCATTTGTTGGGCAATTTGATCAGCATATTCATTCTGTCCCATTGATCGATAATATTCAATCCATTGTTGAGTATAATCTGCTTGTCCAGCCGTAGAATTAGTTGCTATTATTTGTAAACATATTAAATAATAAATCGATTAGAAACAAATCTACAAACCTGATGGGGCTGAATTAGTGTTACTTGTATTTGCTATTGAATCTGTTGGTTTTGTTGTTGTTGTCGTGGTTGATGTACCGGAAGATGGATTTCCTGTCATATTTGTTTGCATCATATTGTAATAACTCATGGATTGATAATAAGCTAACCAGGCTGGATCCATTTGACCCATTCCTGCAGGATTATTAGCTGCTGCTGCTGACGAATCATTGTTATTTGATGAACTTTGATCATATGAATTTGCTAGAAGAAATTTTATATGAAAGATTTATTTCTTATTCTAATATTTACCTTGTGGCCATTGTCCATAAGCATTTGCCCACTGATTATAAGGATCGCCATTACTTGAACCACCTCCATATTGATCATTATTTCCATTCCATGAATCAGATGAACTTATTCCAGCTGATGGTAAATTAAAGTTCGCTTGAAATTGTGCTGGTGATAACATATCTCCAGTGCCACCAGGACTATTTACAACTTTTTCATACATTAATTGTTGTGCTTTAACTATTTGATCAGGCGTACCACGTAATTTAAATACTCTATCAGATGAGTTTCCTATTGGTGGAATATGTCCTTTATCAAGTTCAACAAAAGCACCTGATTTTCGATTAATTTCTTTAATACTTTCACCACCTAAAACTAATTCTTAACTAAAAAGTAAACAATATGTTAAACTAACCTTTGCCAATAATAATTCCAGCTTTTTCATAAGGTACATGATAAATTGCTTCATTACATGGGCCAGACATCGGCGTACCTCCAGACTAAAAAATTATCGTATGAACAAAAAATAAAATTATTATTTAAATATTTACTCGTGAACCATAATCATTAAATGAGTTTGGATTAGTTGGATTATTACCAAGACGATTTGCTGGATTAGGTATACCACCAGGTTTCAATAAAGTTTCAAGTACATATTGTTTAACACGCTAAAATAAATACAATAATAATAGTAAACAAGTAATTTTTTTTTCTCTTACTTCTATTCGATCTGGTTCACCCATAATTCTTAATGGTTTATGTTCTATTCCATCAACATCAGCTGAATCTTGAACAACATACATTTTAACACCAAATTCTTCCTAAAAAACAAACTTTCTTTTTATCAGATTTTATTAATACAAACAATATCTTACAGATAATCGTTTGATAGTTTCACCACCTTTACCAATAACTAATCCACATTTTGCTGAGGGTAACATAACATCCACTGATTTCGAACCTCCTCCACCACCACCACCTCCCATTGAATATGGATTAACACCAACTGATCCAACATCAGTCATTCGTCCTTTTAATATAATATCATCCATAATACGTTTAGCTCGTTCAATTGCTTCTCGTGAACCACTTAAATTTGCTAAACGATCAGGAGGATTTGGACCACCAGGTATAGGATCTGATCGTGTTTGACATATTTGCACCTTACAACCACTTTCAGCTTGAAGTCGAACGATTTGTTCTCCACCTTTACCAATAACAAGACCAACAAATTTATCAGGAATTTTATAATCTTCTTGAAATGTATTTTGATTTGAGAGTGGTAATGCTAATGAATCACTGGATGTTTTAACTCCTAATTGTGAATTTATCTGTTGTGCTATTTGTTGTGCACGTAATACAGGTGTTGGAATATCATTTGATTGTGTTGGAGAAGTAAAAGCTGGACGTTTATTTGAATATTCATCTTCACTATTTGGTCGTTTTAATGAAGGATTTGCATTTGCATTTGGTGCTGATCCAGTTAATTTTTGTGCTATTTGTCTAGCACGAGCAACAGCATCTTGAAAACTGACTGGACTATTTTGCATTTTTTTTCTTCAAATGTTGATGCTGAATAGAAATAGATAATAGAAAACAAAAACAAATTACAATAATAATATGATTGAAATATTACACACATATACGTTGTGTGTTTATCAACCATTGACATATCAGATCGAAACAAACTGCATAGATGAAGAAGAATAGCTTTTTTCTTTGTTAAAGAAAGAGGAATGTCGCTATGACGATGGAATGGAGAAAGGAGGAACATATTTTTTTTATGTGCATGTCAACTAATTCAACGAATAAGAAATGCTGATTGAAATCAATCAATATTTATGTTAATTATGAATATCTGTTCATAATTGATGATTGTATCATGACTAAACAAATAAAAATGCAGAAAAGTATTTATATTTATTTTTCAAGGTAAATTGCATTTCATTAGTTTTCTTTTATGTTTGAATTTTTTATTATATTTCAATAACGGTACAGAATAGCTAGAAGATTAAACAACAATAATTTCATTTAAAAAAATAATCCAAACACAACCGCAAATTATTTTTATGAATCAAAAACTGAAATCATTAACCCTTTCAGGACTAGTTTTGCTTTCACGATCAGTGTATTATTCTTAAATTATCTTCTCAATCGCGACTCAAAAAAAAGTTTTTTTTTAAAAGGCTAGACCCCCCTCCAGGGTAGGTGGTACATATGCTGTACCACGACCTTCAAAGGGTTAATTAACGTATACTTCATATATTTGATTCAGTTCAAAAATAAGTCTAATAATGATACAAAATCATATATATTCTTGTTAAAAATACATATTACAAGGTTCTCGCGATAAACATATTCTTTATGCCTAAAAGGTTATCTAACCATTGATAAGCTATTCCATGATTGATAAATCTAACGATCTGCTGCATCACATAAAATATCCACGATATATCAGCGTTATTTATGGCACACTTAATGTTTTTCTATTCTCCAGATACGGCCGTTCCGTTATCTGTGGGGTAAATACTTGTCGTAACGAAGGAATTGATTATATTTTCCTTATGATCATCTTTATGTTTGTTAGGAGAGTAATGCATTCTAACATCTATATTTTATTTATTTTACTACAAATATTTGTAAACAAAACATTCAGTGATATTTATAAGATTCAATGTAATTACTAAAATCAATTTTTTCTTTATCATATCTATTTTAATTAATTCTAGCTAATAACATTAACTATTGTACAAAATTAACAAAAAAAGATCTTGGATCTTCATGTATTGATAAAAATCTTGAATATCCATTATCATCTGAAGATATTGATCTTTTAAAAAAGAATAGTCTTTCAATTAAAACACAAACATGTGTGTCAAATCCATCTCTTACTTGTCTTAATATTGATCATAAATCATTGATTGGTGCTGGAACATATGGATTAGTTGTACGTGGTCAATCAAAATCAGTTCAATTTCCTCTTGCAATTAAATTTATTAAATTACCAACAAAACTCGATACTGTTTCATTTAATACAATTGGTCGTTATAATCGTATCGATCTTAATTCTTTAATAGAAAATAAAGGTACGGAAAAAGGTTTACGTGAAGCTATAGCACTTCGTCTTATAAATGAATATGAACTTCCTTCAATTCCGAAATATGTTACATATTTTGAAACATCATCTTATCGAATACTTGCAATGGAATACTTAGAAAATTATGAAGAATTATCAAAAATAATTGATAAATTATCATCAAAAGATTTATTATTTATTTCATGTCAAACAGCAGCTATTGTTTGTAATTTAGATCAAATTGGTATATCACATGATGATATGCATGAAAGAAATATATTAATTAATCGTAAAAATAATAATAAAGTTAATTTAATTGATTTTGGTGGTGCACATTTTAATAATAAACATGAACATTTTACTAGTACAAGTAATTTTTTAAAACAACCTATTAATTTATTAGGTCATTTAAAACGTTTTGTTAAAGAAGATTTAATTGATAATATACAATCACAAGAAAAAAAAGATCTTGGACGTTTTTGTTTAATGATGAAGACTTTTATATCAAGTAAAAATGATACGGAAAAAGAAGCAATACCTTATTATTATAGAATATTATTTGAAAAATATTGGAAATTTAATCAAATAAATAAAAAATTATTTAAATGTGCATTAACAAAATAATTTGTTTATTATTTTTATTGTTAACAAAGACCAGACAAATTATTTTGACATTGACCAAATATTTTGTTCTTTTGCTTTCTAACAAATCAGTTCAATGAAGTATATATCTAAACGATGTTGAAGAGAAAATTAATCAATAATAATGAAATCAGTTTTATTGTTTATTCAATACATTATTTTATTTTTAAATGATCGATTAATATTTTAAATTGATTTCTTTTCTTTACAAAGTATTTAATCGATGTGCAATTACATACTTAACTAAATAAATATTTTTCAATCCACAAATCAAATGATGATGTTTTAATTTCGTCAGACATTTGAGTTTAAAAATACTTTTGACATGACATTTAATATTTCGAGAAGAAATATATTAGATGATATTTTAAGCATATAGCTGATCATCTAAAAATATCACTAATACATTATAATGACATGATTAGCATCTGCTCTGTTAAGTTTACTGCATACAAAATTTGTAAAAGTAAAAATATGTAAAAAAAGAATGTCTCTAGTGAATTGTTATTCAATAGAAATAATAAGATACAATTAAATAATTCATCCCACTCTACATGTTGATTATAGAAGAATCGATTTAAATTTGATGAATTAATAAAAACAATGGCCATTGCATCATCTTTTATGAATAATTACTGACAAACGTTTTTTTTCTGTCTTCAAAAAATACATCAATATTAAGTATGTAATTGAATTAACTTAGATTATGACGTCATACCATCTAAACCTTGGAATAATTAAGTATTTCTCAAGAAATAACTATCTAAGAGAATGTTTTCATCTCTCCTACGGATTTGAATTATTAATTTAGCTTGCGAATAAAAATTGCGTCTTTTGTTTCTCAAGTACGTTGTTAAGAAAATGACTTACATAAAATGCTAGAAAATAAAGTGATTCCTATGGTGAAATTAAGTGCTATGTTCATTCAGACTCGATCTGATTTATAACGGCATACTTCAGACAATCAATTCAATTTCTTCTTTTATTAAGACTATACTTAACCAACAATCAAATATTGTTTTTCAGAATATTGAATAGGAAATTATTTGTTAATCAAGTCAATTGAATGATAAATAGATCGTTGAATACACTCAATAAAACTGACATTGTCTATAATTATTAACTGAATTATTCATGTATAAATATATATGACGATAATTTTTAAGCGAACAAAATTTAAACTTTGTTTTTCTCTTTTGTGTCAATTACAGAAAAAGAAAAAATAGTTATGTAAATAATTTTCAATATGAATAAATTTAAATATTCTTTTTTTAATTTGAAATATCAAAAATAATATTTTATTATTTCTTTTTTTGAAGTAGTAATTTTAACACGTAATATACAAAAAAAATTTACGTAATTAAAAACTGTCAAATTCATTTGGAAAAAGTTCAGTTGCAGAATGTGTCATAGGCTTTTCATCATATTTTTCATAATGATCCTTATCTGGTTTCGGTAAATACGGTGCTTTAACTCGTTTTTCAAAAATAGCAATCCAATTAGTATTTGAAAACCATTTATGATATTTAATATCTTTAGTACCATTTTTTAAATTTCCAAAACGTTTTGTTAAATCTGCTTGTAATAAATTTCGTATTAAATCTTTAAGCTCGGATGAGAAATGGGATGGAAATTTAAATTTTCCTTGAACAATTTTTTCATAAATTTGTATTGGTTGATCGGCATAAAATGGTGGATAACCCTAAACAATGAATCAAAAAGATATAGTGATTTTTTTTCTTATCAATTTTCTTACTGCAGCCATTTCATATATTAATATTCCTAATGCCCAATAATCAACACTTTTATTATACCCACGTGAAAGAATTATTTCCGGAGCAATATACTAAAATATAAAAATAGTAATTTATCCTGAAAAGAAAATATTTACCTCAGGTGTTCCACATAAAGTATATGTACGATCACGCACGACTTTTGCAAATCCAAAATCAGTTATTTTAAGATAACCATCAGCCGAAAATAAAATATTTTCCGGTTTTAAATCACGATAAATAATGCCTATTTGACATTTAAAAAAAAACAAGTCAGTAGAATAAATATTATTTTTTAAATATAAGTGTTTAATATACTTAGATAATGTAAATATTCGAACGCTAATGCAACTTGAGCAGCATAAAAACGTGTTTGATCTTCTGGGTATTTTTGAACGCCTCTATAAATAATAAAAAAAGAGAAATATGAATTAAATTTTTTTATTTCTTTGATATGTGCTGCTTACCGAAGATGTGTAAACATTTCTCCACCACTTGCAAAATCCAATGCTAAATAAAGATGTGAATTATCTTTAAATGAATAAACTAAATTAACAAGAAATGGAAATTTGATTGCTTGTAGAATACGTTTTTCCGATAATGTATGTTCAACTTGTTTTAATTTAACAATTGTTTGTTTTTCCATAACTTTTAATGCTATTGTTTGATTACCATGTAGTGTTATCATAACACGACCAAATGAACCCGTACCAACTGTACGTTGTAAATGAAATTCATCTAATTTAGCTGTTTGTTTAGACGGTTGAGAAAATTTTGTTTCGAATTCTTGTTTGGCATTTTCAAGAAAAGAACTAACTTGAGCATCTATATGGGCTTGACTTGAACTTGATGATGATGCACCACCTGATGACGACGATGAAGACGGATTATTACCCATTTGTATACGTTGTCGTTATTAGATTTCTGTACTATGTCTAGAAACAGAAGAAGAAGAAAAGAGGACGGATTGACATAAGATTCTTTTCATAGAATCATGTCAAAAATGAAGTAAAATAAAAATAGAAAGAGATAAGAGATTTTCATTTTCTGATTGCTTCAATATATTTGACAATCTATCTCAAAAAAAAAAGAAAAGAAAAAGCTTTCTTAATTACCCAAGTTCTATAGGATTTATTGAAGAAGAAAAAAACGACATGGATATTTTTTTTCTTCTATATATACTCAATAAATTCTTTGATGTCTTTGTGTTGTTTTTACTGTCTTCTATCTGTATATTATATTCAGCTTCGATCTCTTGTTTTGTTCTGTCATGTTACTATTCATCCGAAAGCATGGAATAAGATGCCACATCACCCATTAATATATTATCTGGAGTCGAGCAATAATCTGCTTTTGCGTCAGCGAGGTCTCTCTATTCTCTTCTTTCCTATATTCTTGCTCTTTGATCGATTGCATATTGTTATCGTGGTATCGATTCACTAGCAATGTTTACGCATGTGTACGAACGAACGAACATCCGATAGATCTACACTTAATCTCATTTCATTTCGATTTCCTTCGTGCGTTGTAAGCTCGTCACATGATGAATAAATAGGGGTAGTAATGTTTGAATGAATTATAAATGAAATTGAAAAAAGAAAAGAAGAAAGAAAAAAGCCGAACACACTCGTTCTTTTTTTTCAATAAATAAGCAGCACATGAGAGAAACCTTCGCTGAACTAACACGTATACTATTGTGTCCTTGATTTTAACTAAGGATAGTTCCAAATGAATAAATAAAAAAATAAGTAAGTATCATTCTATTAATAGTATCTTATTCTACCTACTTGTCAGGAAAAGAGCGAATAAACGAAGTGTCACATACTTCAATAAATTGAACACGTTTGTGCTGTTACAATACAAGTAAGCAACAAAATAAAAAAAATGTTTTCTTCGTCCTGCTTACTCGTATTTCTTTTTTCAAAAAAAAAAGCAGTCACAGTAGTCTTTCTCTCTTTTTTTTTCTTCATCTTTCCATGATTCTTTTTATATCCTGATGGCAAATGGTGAGCTTTGCTTCTCTTTCTCTCTCTCTCTCTCTCTCTCTCTCTCTCTCTCTCTCTCTCTCTCT